GGGAACCTTTACCTTTACCTTAGTTGGACATCTTCTATCATTTGAATAAAAGCAGTCCTCGGCCTATGACCACAATTGAGCCCAAACTTTCTGTGGTTAAGTGACACATCTGTTAAGTGAGTTTTGCCGCATTTTATGAACTTTCTTGCCTCGGTTGTTAAGTGAACCACCGCAGTTCATAAGTTAGTAACCCAGTTGTTACGTGAATCCGGCTTCCCCCTTGACTTTGCTTGTCAGAAGGTCGCAAAACGCGATCGCATGACCTCAGGACACACCAACCGTCCTAAATATAAACTAATTGCGTTTCGGCGTGGTGGTCATGTCATCAGAATTCAGACAGTTGGCAACTGACTCCTATTTATGACGGTTGCTGTGGCCTGAGGACATCCCCTTTTGCGACCTTCTGACAAGCAAAGTCAAGGGGGGGAAGGCAGATTCACTTAACAGCCGGGTTACTAACTTATCCACTGCTGTGATTCACTTAACAACTGAGGCACGACCACGAGGATGCTGCAAAGGTCGTAACTCTGAAAAAAGGTCATAAATCACTTTTTTTTCAGTGCCCTTGCAACCTTGAATGGTCACTAAACGAACTGTTGTATGTCGAGGACTACCTGTATAGGATCAGCTGGTGTCGTATAGGAGAACTTGAATTCCCTTGACCCTTATCTATCCCCAATTTTCTTCGACCGTCATTAGTTCAGATTCTTGTAGAGAGTTGTTAGCATGCAATAACCCTGCATTCATTTGAACTGCTCTGGCTCCGGATTTCTTTTACGCTCCACAATAACTGAGCCAGCTTTTAAAATTCTTTTTGGCACCGATCTGAAAAGGTTATTTAAGATTTCTAGGAATTGGCATCCAAATTCTCTGTTTCTGGGCATCTATCGCCTTTGCTGCCATTCAAAAGAAATTGGAAGGCAAAATGTATATGCGTACAGGCAGTCCTCGACTTACGACCACAATTCAGGGCAAAATTTCTGTGGTCAGGTGAGGCAGTTTGTCAAGTGGGCTTTGCCCCGTTTTACGACCTTTTCTGCCAGAGTCGTTAAGCGAATCACTGCGGTGGATAAGTCGTTAAGTGAATCCGGCTTCCCCATTGACTTTGCTTGTCAGAAGGTCGCAAAAGGGTGATCGCGTGATTATGGGACTCCGCAACGGTCATAAGTAGGAACCAGTTGCCAAGCGCCTGAATTTCGAACACGTAACCAACGGGGATGCTGCAAAGGTCTGTGAAAAACGGTTGCAAGTCTGTGTTTCCAGTGCCGTTGTGAATTTGGAACCGTCACTAAATGAACTGTCGTAAATCGAGGACTCCCTGTAGGTGCGTTAAACCACTGGTGGAGGATTTTGAATTGGTTCTGTCCTCCATTTCTGGCATTTAGTAGATTCTTTTCCCAAGCTAACAAGCAGTCTCTAATGAGGGCACATCCGCAATTTACTAATCAGTAAATCCCGTGGGAATAACGCATTACAACACATGCGCTCCTGCCTACAGGTTGAAGGCATCTTCCTCACAAGATTTTCCTAAAAGACCCATGAGCTTGGGTAGTCCTCAACTTACAACAGTTCATTTAGTGACCGTTCAAAGTTGCAGCGGCACTGAAAAAAGTGACTTATGACCATTTTTTTACACTTGGCAGCATCCTCATGATCACATGATCAAATTCAGCCGCTTGGCAGCCGGTTCATATTTATGACGGTCGCAGTGTCCCGGGGTCACATGATCCCCTTTTGCGACCGTCTGACCAGCAAAGCCCGACCCTCTGGAATGGGTTGCCCACCGAGCTCCGGACGGCCCCCGACTTCCGCACCTTCTGCGCCGACCTAAAGACATGGTTCTTCCATTAACTTCCCTGATCTGCAGCGGATTTTAATTTGGGTATCTGGGGATTTTTAATTTGGTTTTAATACTATTTAATTTTTACTTATTGTCGGGTTTTTCTATTGTTGTGAGCCGCCACGAGCCCTACGGGAGAAGGGCAGCATATAAATATGTCAAAATAAATAAATAAATAAATAAATAAATAAAGTCAACGGGGGAAGCCAGATTCACTTAACAACCGTGTGGCTATCTTAACAACTGCAGTGGTTCACTGAACAACTCTGGCCAAAAAAAAAGGTTGTAAAATGGGGGGGGGGAAACTCACTTAACGAATGTCTCACTTAACAACAGAAGTGTTGGACTCCAATTGGGGTCGTAAGACGAGGGCGAGCACCCTCGCCTTTATTATATTTACGTGTAACTCAAAAGGCAGCAATCCACCTTCGTCCTTCTATTTTCCCCACAACCACAATCCTGTGAGGTGGGTTGGGCTGAGAAAGATTAACTGGTCCAAATAAATACATTGCACCACAGTTCCTATCATTTATTTATTTTATTAGTCCAATTTATATGCCGCCCTTCTCCGTAGACTCAGGTCGGCTTACAATGCATTATAGCAGTGTTTCCCAAAGTGTGGTATGCGTACCCCCAGGGGTATGGGAAGAGTTTGGTGGGGGTACGCGTTGCACCGGAGTTTGGTGGGGATCACATGGGAATATCCACTGCACCGTGATCTGTCATCTCAACATAAACAATTTCATCCTTCTCATTGAATCAAATAAATGTTCTTTATAATATAACTTTCGTTTATTTTGTGTATGTACCAAAAAAAGAAAAAATAAATATATTTTGATTTTTATTAAAGCATATGTTTTTTATGAGGGGTACTCAGCGTTACGAAAATTATAGAAAGGGTACACATATGTCAAAAGTTTGGGAAACACTGCATTATAGCAATAGCCTGCATACTTTTTTGTATATACCTGCTTATTAGGGCTTTCGCCCCCCCCCCCCCCAGCGGTCTTGTTCTATACAAATTTGGCTTATTGCCCCCACAATCCGGGTCCTCAATTTACCTACCTCGCAAGGATGGAAGGCTGAGTCAACCTTGAGCCTGGTGAGATTCGAACTTGCACTAATTGCAGGCAGCTGGCAGCTAAGTGCTAGCACTTAACAGCACTCTAGTCCGCTGCACCACCGAGGCTGCTGTGTGGCTGGGAATGATGGTAGCTCTAGTTCGGGGGTGTCAAACTCGATTTCATTGAGGGCCGCATCAGGGTTGTGTTTGACCTCCGGAGGGGGTGGGCAATGGTGGGTGTGGGCAGGATGGGTGTGGTCGGCATGACGTCACTCATGTCGGGGAGGGGCGCCTGTGGTGGCCTGGGACGGGTCCATTGTCTCCAGTAGAGGAAGGTGAAATCAGGGACAGGGCCAATCCCTTGTACTCCAGAAGAGCTTCGCCATCCCTCTTAGGCCATGCGGAGGATCCTTGGATGGCGGTGCAGGCCGTCCAGAGCCCTAGGCAGGAGGGGGCAAGCACCCGGCCTGGCCTTTGAGCTCCCAAGGCAATGGGACCCCCACAGCCCAGCCCCGCTTCCCTGAGGGGGTGCCCGGCTGCGCTTACCTCCTCCTCGTGTGCCCCCGCCCCAAGCTCTGTTTTCGCTGCCAGAGGCACCGCGGGCCAGTCCTTTGCTGTTTCCAGGGCAGCCCCACCGGCCAGAACTAATCAACCCGAGGGCCAATCCAGACCACAGGCCTTTAGTTTGACATCCCTGCTTTAGTTTAAATCATCCGGAGGTCTTCAGATTTAGATGAATGCCATTGAAAAACAATAGTCCACCAGACAAATAAAAAGAATTGGAAGGGACCTTGGAGGTCTTCTAGTCTAACCCGCTGCTCAAGCAGGAGACCCTATACCCGTGATGGCGAACCTATGGCACGCGTGCCACAGGTGGCACGTGGAGCCATATCTGTGGGCACGCGAGCATTGCCCTAGCTCAGCTCCAGTGCACATGCGCGCGCTGGCCAGCTGATTTTCGGGCCTTCCAGGCCCACCGGAAGTCAGGAAATGGGCCGTTTCCGGCCTCCAGGCTGGGTGGGGAAGGCTGTTTTCACCCTCCCCAGGCTCCAAGAAAGCCTCAGGGCAAAAAACAGGCCTGCTGGGCCCACCGATAACCTTTTTGCCATCACGTGCCAAAAGCTGGGGGAGCGCGGGTGGGGCACTGAATTATGGGGCATACACACACACGCAACACCCCCCTGCTCCCCCTGCTTTTGGCACACGACGGCAAAAAGATTAGCCATCACTGCCCTACACCATTTCAGACATGTGGCTGTCCAGTCTCTTCTTAAAAACCTCCAGTGATGGAGCACCCACAACTTCTGGAGGCAAGCTCTTCCACAGATCAATTCTCCTCACCCTTAGGAAGTTCCTCTTTAATTCTAGGTTGGATCTCTCGATTACTTTCCATCCATTGCTTCAGGTGCTTTGGAGAATAGATTGTCCCCCTCTTCTTTGTGGCAGTCCCTCAAATACTGGAAGACGGCTATCATGTCGCCCCTGGTCCTTCTTTTCATTAAATTAGGAGCCTGGATAGCTCAACAGACTAAAAAAGCCTGTTATTAACATTCAGTTGTCTGCAATTATTGCATGTTCGAATCTCCCCAGGCTCAAGGTTGACTCAGCCTTCCATCCTTTCTAAGGTAGGTGAAATGAGGACCCAGTTTGTGGGAGCAATAAGCTGACTTTGTATAAATATACAAAAGTATGAAGGCTATTGCTTAACGCATTGTAAGCCTCCCTGAGTCTCCGGAGAAGGGCGGCATATAAATCTAATTTAAAAAATAAAAATAAAAAAAATTAGACACACCCAATTCCTTCAATTGTTCTTTCTATGTTTTAGCCTGTAGTCTCCTTTGTTGCTCTTCTCTGCACTCTTTCCAAAGTCTCTGCATCTTTTTTTTATATTGTGGTGACCAAAACTGGATGCTGAATTCCAAGTGTGGTCTTACTAAGGCTTCGATCTTGAAGATGAAGACTAGCACAGCTGAGAAATGTAGTACAGCATGAGCTAGGAAACAATCTCAATCTCTTTCTTTAACAGAAAGACAAAGTGTAAATCTACATCATATAAATATGAATCGTGAAATGACTCTTTTTTTTTTTCCTTTAAAGGCCTCGATTGGGAGGCAAAGCCCCAGGATCGTGTCTTATCCTGCACATAACTTATGTTCTGGGCGATCCAATCTTCATACCACGGCAGGTAAGGAGGTCTCCTTCCAGTCTTAAGACTGGTCTTTTTTGAATCATTGTTCTTCATTAATTTTGAATTACGATTGTTCATTAATATTTCTCCTGATAAATGCTTTGGTTCTCCATCTCTGCAACCAACTTGCTGTGAATCTACCCAAAAATACCAAAACACTATAGACCAGGGGTCTCCAGCCTTGGCAACTTTAAGCTTGGCAGACTTTAAAAATGAGTTTTTAATGTTTTTAATTTTTAAGCGTTTTTTATAATGAATTTTTAAAATGTATTGTGAGCCGCCCTGAGTCTTCGGAGAGGGGCGGCATATAAATTGAATTAATTAAATTAAATTAAATTAAACTTCAACTCTCAGAAGCTGGCTGGGGAATTCTAGGAGTTGAAGTCCTCCAGGCTTAAAGTTGCCAAGGTTGGAGACCCCTGCTATAGACCAAATCTACATCTGCTGCAATTACTGGTTTGTACCTTTAGGGCTAGCTGTAAATGTGGGCTGATCTACTTTGGAGCTGCCCAACCAAAGAGAATCAGCTTTTATCTCCACCAAAAGTAAGAATTACAGGTAGTCCTTGACTTATGACCACAGTTGGGAGACCAGAATTTCCATTGCTAAGCATTGTGTTCGCTAAGTGAGTCACAGCCGATTTTATGACCTTTTTGAACCACAGTTTTTAAGCACACCAGTTGCAGTTGTTAAGTGCATCACATGGCCATTAAGCGAATCCGGCTTCCCCCACTGACTTTGCTCATTGGAAGCTAGCCGGGAAGGTTGCAAATTGCAATCACGTGTCCATCGGGATGCTGCTGTGGTCATAGGTGTGAGGATCAGTCCTAAACTCTTGCAGCTTTGAATGGTTGCTAAATGAATAGTTGTAAGTTGAGGACTACCTGTTGATTGATAGATACCAAGAAAAACATAATCTTTGTTGGTGGCCTCCAAATTCAGGATTCCCATCTGCCAGAGATGCATAATTTCCCTTACACCATCTTTGGTAATCGCTTATGAGATACTCTCTGTATTTTATCAATTGTTGTGTTTAGCTTCATCCTCATGATCCTTCTACAGCTAGTCCTCGACTAACAACCATTCCTTTAGTGACCGTTCAAAGTTACAATGGCACTGAAAAAAGGGATTTACAATGTTTCTCACACTTATGACCATTGCAGCATCTCCATGGTCAAGTGATCAAAATTCAGCAACTGGCATGTATTTATGACGGTTGCATGTCCCAGTGTCATGTGATCCCCATGTGACAAAGCCAAGTCAATGGGGAAGCCAGATTCACTTAACAGCCATGTTAATATTTTAATAACTGCAGCGATTCACTTAACAACTGTGGCAAGGAAGGTCGGAAAATGGCAGAAAATTCACTTAACAAATGTCTTTGTTAGCAATGGAAATTTTGGTCGTAGGCTACCGGTATAAAGTGATGAAATCTAGGTGGATCTCAGGTGTATTCAGGTGTTTACACTTTGAGGTAAGATGTGCGCCCTATAAATTTTATAAATAAGCAAATCAATCCATTTCATTTCTGTCTCTTTTCTTTCACCCAATTATACCATAAATTCCAACATTTGTAATAATCAGAATCTTTTTGGTTCCTAAGTAATTTCATTAACCGGTCTGCCTCTGCGCATTCTGTAATTTTCCAAATCAATGGATTGTATTAGTGCTATAGGCGCAGATTTGTGTACATTAGTTGCAATAACCTTGTATGTATATATGTAAAGTATTGTATTTTTAAAAATGAAAATAAACTTTATTTTAAAAAAAAAAGCAAATCAAATTCAGTTCTCAAGTGGCTAACGGTAGCCTTTTTTCCCCTTTCTCTCCCTCCCCACCCCAAATCCACACAGTGGTGTCTATGGGCTCAGCTGACCATCGATTCAACCTGGCTGAGATCCTGTCCCAGAACTACGGAGTACAGGAAAAAACGGAGGAGGCCGACGAGGAGCCAGACCACGCAGAGGAGAAAGCGAAGCCTTTGGAAGAGATAGAGAAGAGTTTCAATGCCGCCCAGGTAAGGGGCTTGGAGGTCTATTCTTTACTTACCCAGGGAAGGTCTATGGAGATTCTCAGTCATCCAGGTCAAGGTTGTCCCAAAGGTGCTTTTTTCAAGAGGATTTAGGTTTTTGAACATGTTGAAAACATTGTATGTTTTAGCCTCCAAAAACATACGTGTGTTCTTATACAGGTAGCCCTACTGACTTATTCAGATAGGCGAACTGACCATAATTGAGCCTGGCAATTAACGCCATAAGCCGTGATGATCTTCTTTCGGTTTTTTCAAATTTTATTAGCTTATCAAAATATAAAATACAAACGAAAATCAAAAGTTATGGAAGACTAGGGGAGAGACCAAGGGAAGAAGAGACGATGTGGGGTAGGAAGGGGGGAAAAAAAGCATTAATTTCCAACTCTTTATAGCACAGTAAAATATAATTGTCAGTCCTGGAAGCCATCTTTTTCTTTGGATCTTCAGGGCTGCTACATTTAGTGCTGTGGGAAAATGGGAGGGGGGATTGTATGGAGTAAAGTGATATCTACCCATAATAACATTCTTTTCTTTGAGAGTCAAGGACAGCTTGCCCTCCATCTGGAGTGGTGTGACTGGGAGGCATCTCCAGTTGGGAGGGTGATTGATTGGGCCACGTGATGGAGATGTGGGTGCAGGGGAAGGGACTTGGACTTTCCTTTGGGTGGGGAAAACCTGGAAGCTTTCAGATTCGGGTTTTCCCAGATGTGCCAATATGACATCTCTAATAAACTTTGAGGAACTTCTAGCCTCGGAGTCTTCTTTCGTTCGGTGTGTTACTTGGAACCCTGACAATAATATTTACAACCTTGACTTTTTTACTTTTGCACAATAGTATGCAAGTAGTCCTCGACTTACGACCACAATTGAGCCTCAATATTTCTGGGGTTAAGTGAGACATTTGTTAAGTGAGTTTTGCCCCATTTTACGACCCTGAAGTCGGTTCAGTTGTAAAGTGAATCCGGCTTCCCCATTGACGTTGTTTATCAGAAGGTCGCAAAAAGGGGATCCCGTGACCCCAGGTCACTGCAACCGTCGTAAATATGAATCGGTTGCCAAGCATCTGAATTTTGATCACGTGATCATGGGGATGCTACAAAGGTTGTAACTCTGAAAAATGGACGTAAATCATTTTTTCTCAGAAAAAAATGAGAATAAAGATAATTAGGAAATTGGGGCTGCTCGAATACCACTTTAGATTGAACTGAAAAGTGATTCAGTTAACAACTGTGGAAAAGAAAGGTCGGGAAATGGTGGCAAAATTCAATGTTTCCCTTAGCAACAGAAATGTTGGGCTCAGTTGTAGTTGTAAGTTGAGGACTACCTGTAGTCTGGCCTCTGCTGTTTTCTTCCATGAGTGACTGTAAAGTAGACCACCTCTTTATTCCCCTTTCTCTTTAGCCAGGGGATTCCACCACAACAGGGTTGCCAAGTGTTCAAAATGTGGTCATGTGACTGCAAGGAGGGTACCACAAGGTTCTGTCTTAGGCCCAATGGTTCTGAGTAATGCCAATTCGAGATTCTGAGACCTCCAAAACCCTGTTTATTGGGTACATCATATCGGCACGGTCAAATGTAAAACCAACACTGAATAATTCCCGCTTTTTTGGTATAATTAAAGAATAGATACTGTCCACACACACGTAAGCCAACCAAGCGGGTGATGAACTTCTCAGCACTCCCTCCTGCTGTTACCAGGGCACATTGATCTGACCTTGGTTCTCAGGAGCCTTATCTTTGTTATGTCTGGCACATTGGAGGAAAGCATCCTACATTCCATAAGTCCTCCTTCCCCCCCCAAACCCTCCCCATGTATGGCAACTCAGAAACGAAGCAAGAAAAATATGAATAGAATAGAATAACAGAGTTGGAAGGGACCTTGGAGGTCTTCTAGTCCAACCCCCTGCCCAGGCAGGAAACCCTACACCACTTCAGACAAATGGTTATCCAACATCTTCTTAAAAACTTCCAGCGTTGGGGCATTCACAACTTCTGCAGGCAAGTTGTTCCACTTATTAATTGTTCTCACTGTCAGAAATTTCTGCTTAGTTCTAAGTTGCTTCTGTCCTTGATTAGTTTCCACCCGTTGCTTCTTGTCCTGCCTTCAGGTGCTTTGGCGGATAGCTTGACTCCCTCTTCTTTGTGGCAACCCCTGAGATATTGGAACACTGCTATCATGTCTCCCCTGGTCCTTCTCTTCATCAAACTAGACATACCCAGTTCCTGCAACCATTCTTCATATGTTTTAGCCTCCAGTCCCTAATCACCTTCGCTGCTCTTCTCTGCACTCTTTCTAAAGTCTCAGCATCTTTTTTACATCGTGGCGACCAAAACTGAATGCAGTATTCCAAGTGTGGCCTTACCAAGGCATTATAAAGTGGTCTTAACACTTCGCGTGATCTTGAGTCTATCCCTCTGTTGATGCAGCCCAGAACTGTGTTGGCTTTTTTGGCAGCTGCTGCACACGGCTGGCTCATATCTAAATGGTTGTCCACTAGGACTCCAAGATCCCCCTCACAGTTATTACTGTTGAGCAAGGTACCACATATACAGTACCTGTGCATTTTGTTTTTCTTGCCTAAATGTAGAACCTTCCTTTTTTCACCGTTGAATTTCATTTTTTTAGATAGCACCCAATGTTCAAATCTGTCAAGATCTTTCTGTATCTTGAGCCTATCTTCCGGGGGTGCTGGCTATTCCTGCCAGCTTGGTGTCGTCTGCAATGACTTCAGCATCATCTGCAATGAAATATGGCTTCAGCTAGAGTCATTTTTTTTAAAAAAAATTTGATTTATATGCCGCCCTTCTCCGGAGACTCAGGGCGGCTTACAATGCGCTAAGCAATAGCCTTCATCCTTTTGTATATATTTTTACAAAGTCAGCTTATTGCCCCCACAAACCGGGTCCTCAATTTACCTACCTTAGAAAGGATGGAAGGCTGAGTCAACCTTGAGCCTTGGCGAGATTCAAACCTGCAGTAATTGCAGGCAGCTGGTCTTAATAACCAGCTTAATAACAGGGTGCCTTAAACCACTGTACTACCAACTCTCTTTTCAGAGTTGACACCCAGTACTCTTCAATAACTTCTTCATAAACGACTTAGACGAGGGAATAGAAGGGGAACTTACCAAATTTGCAGATGGTACTAAGCTGGCAGGAATAGCCCACACCCTAGATCAGTGGTGGCGAACCTTTTACTCACCAAGTGCCGAACAGATACTCGCTTCAGGTGTTTCGCACGCACGCGTGCTACCCACACTAACACACGGCTTCTCCCCGTGTGCTGCGCACACAACCGCACCATCTACACATGCACACAGGTTTCACGGCCCCCTGCGCTGCGTGCGCAACCACACCATCTGCACATGCGTGTGGCTTTCACGTGGCTCCCTCCGTGTGCTCTGCGCGCAATTGCACCATCTGCGCATGCATGTGGTTTTCACACATGGCAATGCACACGTGTGAACGCCATTTACGCATGTGCGTGCTGTGTGCAAGTACTCTCATGTGCATGCGCAAATTCATGCGCAGGAGAGCTCTGAAGACCAGCTGGGTCTCCTGAATTGCACACATGCGCACCGGAGGCCTGGACACCAGCTGGGGCGTGCGCACATGCGCAGCTGCAGGTGAAGTGGGCGACAGCTCGCGTGCCTGGAAAGATGGCTCTGCGTGCCACCTTGGGCACGCGTGCCATAGGCTCGCCATCACGGCCCTAGATGACAGGCTCAAGATCCAGATGGATCTTGACACAGACTCGAACAGTGGGCCCTAACTAACAAAATGAAATTCAGTGTAGAGAAAAGTAAAGTCTTACAGTTAGGCAAGAAAAACCAAAAGTACAAATATAGATTAGGAGAAACCAGGCTGAATATTATTATTATTTATTATTTATTGAATTTATATCCCGCCCTTCTCCCCGAAGGAACTCAGGGCGGTGAACAGCCGAAAATTAGAATAACATACAATATAAACGTTAAGATAACTAAAAATAAATTAAATTAATCGGCCTCCCAATTTAAAACCCCAAGCTATACAATTAAAAAAACTAACCCATAAAACCTATTCAGGCCAGTAACTGAATAGCAGTAACTGTGAGAGGGATCTTGGAGTCTTAGTGGATAACCAGCTAAATATGAGGCAGCAGTGTGTGGCGGCAGCCAAAAAAAGCCAATACAATCCTAAAACTGCATTAACAGAGGGATACAGTCAAGATCAAGTGAGGTACTAATACCACTCTATAAAGCCTTAGTAAGACCACACCTAGAGTACTGCATCCACTTTTGGTCACCACACTATAAAAAAGATGTTGAGACTCTAGAAAAAGTGCAGAGAAGAGCAACCAGGATGATTAGGGGTCTGGAGACTAAAACATACGATAAACGGTTGCAGGAACTGAGCATGGCTAGTCTAGTGAAGAGAAGGACCAGGGGAGACAGGATAGCAGTCTTCCAATATTTGAGGGGCTGCCACAGAAAGGAGAGGGTCAAGCTATTTTCCAAAGCACCCGAAGGCCAGACAAGGAATAATGGATGGAAACTGAATAAGGAGAGATATTCAACCTGGAAATAAGGAGAAATTTTCTGACAGTGAGAACAATCAACCAGTGGAACAGAAGTTGCCTTCAGAAGTTGTGGGAGCTTTATATCACCCTTCAAGGAGAGACTGGATTCTTAAGTGTCGATTTATCAAGCCCAATCATATAGTTTTGTAACAGAGCACGGGTAATTCAGATAATTTTCTATAATTTGAATACAAGCAGTCCTCGGCCTACGACCACAATTGAGCCCAAAGTTTCTGTCACTAAACGAATGGTTGTAAATCAAGAGCTACCTCTTATGTTCCTATATGTCGTGCTGCTGATTTGCAAGTTCCCCATTGCCAGAACTGAAGGTAAGTATTATTACTCTTGTCTTGTGGCTCAGAACAGTGAGATGCCCTTTGAAGAGCTGCTGGCCCTGTACGGCTATGAGGCTTCTGACGCCATCTCTGAGCAGGAGAGTGAGAGCAACGATGCTACGCCCAACCTTCCAGACATGACCCTGGATAAGGTAAGGGATGATCCACACTTGTCCGGTGGGGCGCCCAGGTTGAGACGGATGTGGTAGAATTTGATTCTCCTGGATTTTAATTTGTTATGTCATTTCTATCCCGTTTTATTATTTTTACAAATAACTCAAGATGGCAAACATACCTACCAGACTGTCCTCCTCCTATTTCCCCCACAACAACAACCCTGTGAAGCAAGTTGGATTGAGAGAGAGAGTGACTGACCCACTGTCACCCAGCTGGCTTTCCTGGCTAAGGTGGGACTAGAACTCACTGTCTCCTGGTGATTGGCCCAAAGTCCCCCAGCTGGCTTTCCTGGCTAAGGTGGGACTAGAACTCACTGTCTCCTGGTGATTGGCCCAAAGTCTCCCAGCCAGCTTTCATGGTTAAGGTGGGACTAGAACACACTGACTCCTGGTGATTGGCCTAAAGTCACCTAGCTGGCGATCCTGGCTAAGGTGGGACTAGAACTCACTGACTCCTGGTGATTGGCCTAAAGTCACCCAACTGGCTTTCCTGGCTAAGGTGGGACTAGAACTCACTGTCTCCTGGTGATTAGCCCAAAGTCACCCAGCTGGCTTTCCTGGCTAAGGTAGGACTAGAACTCACCATCTCCTGGTGATTGGCCTAAAGTCACCCAGCTGGCTTTCCTGGCTAAGGTGGGACTAGAACTCACCGCCTCCTGGTGATTGGCCTAAAGTCACCTAGCTGGCTATCCTGGCTAAGGTGGGACTAGAACTCATATTGAACAAAGTCACCTAGCTGGCTTTCCTGGCTAAGGCAGGACTGGAACTCACCGTCTCCTGGTGATTGGCCCAAAGTCACCCAGTTGACTTTCATGGCTAGGATGCGACTAGAACTTCCAGTCTCCCGCTTCTAGCCTCGCGCCTTAATCACTACACCAGACTGACTCTCTCTTCCTTAAATAGTCGTCCTAAACTTAACCTCAACACAGTTGCTGTGTTCACATGGCATGCAGTGCCCAAAGTAATAAACCGTTAGTGTGGCTTAACATCATAGCTGCTTCTCGCAAAACACCGAGCTGCCGATTACTTTAAAGCCATTTGAGCTTAGGCTAGCATGTTGGTCCAACCCACCAACACCTCACTGAATGTTATGAACTTCCAGGGCCATCTGTCTGCCTTTGACCTTCTTGAGTCTATCGCTTCTTTGTTAAAGCGAAGGACAAGCAGAATTTTTTTTCCAGTTATTTCATAAAGAGGAGATCTTTCTCGCGGATTGCTAGCTGATACTTGCTCCCCGGAGATGCCAAGAAGAAAACTGGGATTTGCTGCACTCAGAAGCCGGTCCTCCAACAGTAAAGAGGTGTCTCTGCTTTTTGTAGGCGAGGCTTACGTGTTCCTTAATAGTTTTGAATAACTTGCAGACTTGAGCACAAAAAAGCCTGCACTTTATTATTATTATTATTTAAGATTTAATCTTCAATTCGATTCACAGTCTGGGACTGGTAAAAACTTAACAGTTCAAGTCCTAACCAAGAACCGAAGAGCAGTTAAGGTAACGTCTGGCTATATAGGCAGTTCCATGTAAGGTGGGTTTTTTTTTTGCAAAGTCAGGATATTCAGGTATGATAAATTCAAAATTTTCATGTATCTAGGCTGCCCTTTGGGTATTGCTCCAAGGGCTCCTATTACTATTGTAAAACCATTGATTTCTTCCTCCGCAATCGCTCAACTTCAATTATTATTATTATTATTGTTGTTGTTGTTGTTATTGATCATCGCACATTCTGTTCAGACTGGGTTGGGCATTTTTGTCTACCTATTGAATCCTTACCATGGACCTGGGATAGGCAGATCTGGGTGTTTGACAGTGTTACAGATATCATCGCAGGATGGAAGCTCTTCCAAGTAAAACCGCTTTCTGCAATTGACTAATGGCAAATTTGTCAATGCCAATGGTGTTCAAGGGGTGCTCCAGTTGTTTTGGGATTGCACCCAAGGCGCCTATTACTATTGGCATTACCCTTGCTTGCCTTTGCCACAATTGTTCTATTCCTATTTGTAGGTCTTTGTATTTCTCTTCTACTCTGCTGTCTCTTACGTCCACTATCCAAGCTTTTTTGTCTTTCTTATCGATAATTGTTAAGTCTGGGGTGTTATGTGGCAGGTCTGTTTGAATTCTAAAGTCCCAGAACAATTCTAACTTCTTCATTTTCTATGACTTTCTCTATTTTATGGCCCCACCAGTTCTTGCTTGCAGGCAAACGATATTTCTTGCAGATCTTCCAATGCACCATTGTTGCTACTTTGTCATGCCGCTGCTTGTAGTCGGTCTGTGCGATCTTCTTACAGCAGCTTACCAGGTGGTCCACAGCTTCTTTGCATAGGCAGCACTTACTGTCTGTTGCTGTCTTCTCCATTCTGGCTTTGTATTCCTGTCTCCTTAAGGCTCGGTCTTTACTAAATTTCTCCGGCAAGATCCTCAACAGGAACAGTTCCAGTTTAAGATCAATGTGTTGCTGTGTCATTTTTATTTTCACGTGTAAAGAAAAATACATATTTGATTATACATGTAATAACGGCAGCAAGAATGGTATTTGCACAAAATTGGAAAGCAAAAAAAAATTCCTACAAAGGGAGAGCTAATTAAGAAAATATTAGAATAGCCAGAAATGAGTAGATTAACATTAGCAATTAGAGGGAAGGAAGAATCGGAATATTACAACATATGGGGGGCAATTTTATCAATGGATAGAGACTGAATATAGACAATAGGCAATGTAAAAATAAGAAATATGGGGGAAATATGTTGTAATACATTACATTTAAATGTAAGAGGAAAGATAAATATGTACTAACTAAGAAAATGATGATAAATGTTGAATATGATGACACAAAAAAGTTTGCACCAAGATATTACACTGATTGATTAATGATGAATTGTTTGTTTAAAAATATTTTTTTTTTAAAAAACGGCTTGGTCTTCTGCAGCCAAAATTACTCCCTCAAGTCTCTTTCTTCAACTTCCCTGCTCTTAGCCATTGCCAGGTCTTGTTATTATCTGCTTTTCTTGCTGTTTTTTTTTTTTAAATGTCTCCATTCTTGCCTCCATTCTGTTCTTCATTTGGTTTTTCTTGTAGGCCGTTTTGGTCTCTCCAGTAGTCAGTAAGTATTAGTATTAGTATGGTTCATCACACAGTCAGCCAGATGTTCATATTGGACTTGGCATTTTTTATTCACCTATCAAGTCCTTCCCAAGGACCTGAGATAGGCAGATGTGGATATTTGACGGTCTTAAAGGACTCTTCGCAGGATGTCAGCTGTTCGAGTCAAGCTGCCTTTTGCAATTGACTGGTGGAGATTTTATCAATGCCGATGATGTTCAAATACTGCTTCAGATGTTTTGGGATTGCACCCAAGATGCCTATCGCTATTGGTCCTACCTTTGCTTTCTTTTTCCACAGTTGCCCTGCTTCTGTTTGCAGGTCTTCGTATTTTGTTATCTTCTCCAGGTGTTCTCTACTTTTCTGCTGTCCCCAGGCACTGCCACGTCCACTTTTCAAACTTTCTTATTGACAGTTGATAAGTCTGGGGTGTTGTTGTGGCAGGTGTCTGTCAGTCTGAATTCTAAAGTACTTTAGCGTCTTCATTTTCTATTTCTCTGTTTTATGGTCCCACCACTTCTTGCTTGCAGGCAAATGGTATTTCTTGCAGATCTTTCAATGCACCAATTGTTGCTACTTTGCACTGCCGTTGTCTGTAGTCGGTTACAGTATTATCATTTATGGTTATGTGCTAGATTTAGATTTATTATTATGTGCTAAATCTTTCGCAGCTGATAAAATACAGTGACTGCTACGTTTTTTGTCTAATGCATATGTATATTTATCTTTAGGGGATGACTGCAGTATTATTATTTATCCCTTTTGTTATTTTTTACCTCTCTCTCTTTATTGGTTGTACATTTTAGTATTACTGTTATATTCTGTTATTTTGCAAGTATGCCGAGTGCTTCTGTACCAGAGACAAAATTCCTTCTATGTCTAACCACACTTGGCCAAATAAACAAAGTATAAATATATAAGTATTTAGATTAGTGTTTTGCAACCTCGGCAATTTTAAGATGCGTGCAGTTTTATACCTGGAACTCCACAGTCAACCGTGCTGGCTGGGGAATTCTAGGAGTTGAAGTCCACACTTGTCTCTGGAGATTCTCAATCATCCAGGTCATGGTTGTCTCAAAAGTGCTTTTTCAAAAGACAATTGGACTGTGATTTGTTTCCCTCTTAAGGAAGAAAATAAAATAAAGATGTTTCTCATCCAAGAAGCTTCATCGGTTCTCATGTCCACATGTCTTAAAGTTGCCAAGATTGAGAAACACAGATTTAGGGACTGGCTGACTCCAGAATAATTCTGGGCGGCTTACACCTAGAAGCAAAAAATATTACAAAGAAAAAAACCTACGTATCGAAAATGACCACATATTATACATCATAATAAACAAACAACTGAGGTCCACCACCAGCCTACTCCAAGGATTGGGAGAACACCCAAATTTTTAAAGACCTTAGTAAGGTAAAAGTAAAGGTTCCCCTCGCACATATGTGCTAGTCATTCCCGACTCTAGGGGGCGGTGTTCATCTCCGTTTCAAAGCCGAATAGCCAGCATTGTCTGAAGACGTCTCCGTGGTCATGTGGCCGGCATGACTAAATGCCAAAGGCGCATGGAACGCTGTTACCTTCCCACAAAAGGTGGTCCCTATTTTTCCACTTGCATTTTTTGCAACTGCTAGGTTGGCAGAAGCTGGACAAGTAACAGGAGCTCACCCTGTTACACGGCACTAGGGATTCGAACCGCTGAACTGCCAACCTTTCGATCGACAAGCTCAGCGTCTTAGCCACTGAGCCACCGCATCTCTTAAAGACCTTAAGGTGGACGCTCTAAAGATTTCTGAGGAAATACTCCGGAATGCAGGTGCCACCAATAGCAATAGCACTTAGACTTTATATATTGCATCATGGTGCTTTACAGCCCTCTCTAAGCAGTTTACAGAGTCAGCATCTTGCCTCCCCAACAATCTGGCTCCTCATTTTACCGACTTTGGAAGGATGGAAGGCTGAGTCAACCTTCAGCCAGTCAGGATCGAACTCCTGGCAGTGAGCAGAGTTAGCCTGCAATACTGCATTCTCACCACTGCGCCACCATGGCTCCTGCCATCACTTAGAAGGCTGACTTTCCGATGGCCTGGTTTAATTAAGGAGACCCAATGTGCACCAGTTCTGCCTGATTTGATTAACCTTGTTAGGTCTGCAGAATTACAAGTAGTCCTCAATTTATGACCGCAGTTGAGCCCAAAGTTTAAGTTGTTAAGTGAGAAATTTGTTAAGTGAATCTTGCCCCAATTTACAACTTATCTTGCCACATTTGTTAAGGGAATCACTGCAGTTGTTAAATTAGTAACAGGGTTGTTAAGCGAATCTGGGTTCCTCCATGGACTTTGCTTGTCAGAAGGGGATCCCACGTGACCTCAGGACCCTGCGACCGTCATAAATCTGAATCAGTTGTCAAGCATCCAAACGTAAATCATACATGCTGCAACGGTCATAAGTGAAAAGTGGTCAGAAGTCACTTTTTTCAGTGCCGTCGTAACTTCGAACGGCCACTAAGCGAACTGTTGTAAGTTGAGGACTACCTGTATTTGGTCAAATCCCCCATCACCAAATGAACGGTTTCCTTTTATACAGGCCATTCAAAGAGATAAATTCCTCAAAGCTGAACTTTCTGTCACGTGTTTCCGGGTGCAGGGAACTATAGCTGCAGTTTTTCCCCGAACGGCATCACTCTGCTAAACAAATAATTCCCTCAAAACTGTCAAACTAGTAACTAAGTCTGCACTACTATTAATCTTCTCATCGTTCCCACCACCCATCTCCTCCCACTTATGACTGTACGACTGTAACCTTGTTGCTGGTCTCCTTACGATTTATATTGACCGTTTCCTAGTATGGTTTGATTGCTTATTTGTACCCTATGACTATCATTAAGTGTTGTACCTTATGATTCTTGACGAATGTATCTTTTCTTTTATGTACACTGAGAGCATATGCACCAAAGACAAATTCCTGGTGTGTCCAATCACACTTGGCCAATAAAGTATTCCTATTCTATTCTATTCTAAAACAAATCCCATGTTAAAAAGTATTCGGTGTCATCCTTCTCCTTGATTTTAAGTCTCGTCAACCCCAATCTTTGACTCTACATAATCTTGGCTTTTTTTAAAAAAAAATAAATCTCTTTTTCTGATTGTTGAATGAAGGAGCAGATAGCAAAGGATCTACTTTCTGGAGAAGAAGAGGAGGAGACGCAATCTTCGGCAGATGACCTGACGCCTTCGGTCACTTCTCACGATGCATCAGACCTCTTCCCCAATCAGACCGGCTGTAAGTTTGATTAAGAGCATCTCTTACACTTGCAGAGGTGGGCAAAAGGAAAGATGGAGTCGTTCGGCTCTTTGTGGTACGTCAGGCCTGCAGATTGGCGGCTGCCACACCACGAAAAAAGAGATTGTCCCCAGCACGCTTCTTCACACAGGTCATCCTCGACGTACAACCATCCGTTTAGCGACTGTTCAAAGTTAGAGCAGGCCCTGCAAAGAAGTTATTGACAACATTTACATTCATTGCAGCATCCCCATGGTCATGTGATCAAAATTTGGGCACTGGCAACCAGCGTGTAATTTATGACGGTTGTCCCAAAAGGTGCTTTTTCAGGAGGCTACTTGTTTTTCTTTTGAAGATGTTTCACTTCTCATCCAAGAAGCTTCCACAACAGGATAGTGGGGAATGGAAGGATTTATATTCCTTGCAGACAGCTGATCATTTGCATCCTTTTTAGAGAGCCGTTGAGGCCACTTAGAGGTTTATCTGTGTCCTCAGGGTCACCTGAGTGGTGCAAATGGGTGTGGAGCCTTCTTGGCTGCAGGATGTTTTCTGCCCTATGTCCCTTCACTGTTGATGACAGGCGCAGGCTGTGTTGTGAACTAGGCTTCCTGAGTCGTTAAAACACACGAGTAGTCGCAAAAACCTCTTTTATTGCAACAGCTGTGAATTACGTTCATTCACAGCTGGGTCCCAATTAGTTGCAAAAAGTCCTTTGGGATAATCACCAACCTTTATCTCCCTTGACACTCTGCCAAAGACCTACTTGGCAAAGCCACACGGAGTCCAGAATCAAACAGAGATGCCGACTGGGAACAGAATTAACAACGTTGCTTTCCTGCAAAGGGCCCACGTGCCTTTGCTCCTCTTTTAAGCCTTATGGGAGGGGCCAATCATCTCCAGGTCTTACTCCCAAGTCGTCCCTTTTGTTTTAACTGCTCCTGCCTTCTGGCAGCTCTGCGCATGTGTGCACTAGGAACAGGCTCCTCCTGTTCCTCTGTCTCTCTGCTGTCTGACTCTGGAGGCTCAGGAGTCTGCGCATCACTCCCAGATGGCCTTGGCCCCATCTCTGCCTCCGACGCAGAGCCCTCATCCAGACCTTCCCCAGACTCCAGGACTGGCCCATGTTCCTCCCCAGCCTCCTCACTGTCCGACTCCACTGCCAGCTCCGCAGGCTCCTGGCAGACCACAACAGGCTGTTGGGGATGAGCCTCTGTTGGCTGCATCTCAAACTGATGGTTCCTGTATTCTGCAGTTTTTCTGGAAATCCGTTCATACTCCCACACCACTGGAAGGGTGTTCATCCCAAAGGGCCTAGCACCTTTGGGACAACCTGGAGGTTTTTAAGAAGAGACTATTAACAGTTCTCTTGTCTGAAATGGTCTGTGATGGCAGCGCCCTGTCTATGGGCACGCCAGCCGTCGCCCCAGTTTAGCTTTGCTGCTCATGCGCCTCCCGCCAGCCAGCTGGTTGTCGGGTCTCTGCTGTGCGGTGGGGGTGGATGGCATGTGGGGGGGCACACGCGCATGTGCAGCGGGGCGGGGCATGTGCAGGGGGTACATGCATGCGCGGAGGGGAGGGGCGCATGCATGGGGGCCGCGTGCATTGGGGGTTCGGGCACACACACACGCACTTTGAGCACTGGGTCCGGAAAAGGTTACCCATCACTGGTATAGGTTCTCCTGCTTGAGCAAGGGGCTGGACTAGAAGATCTCCAAGGTCCCTTTCAACTCTGTTACTCTATTCTATTCTATTCTATTTTCTATTCTATTCTATTCATTTTCTATTCTATTCTATTTTCTATTCTATTCTTTTTTCTATTCTATTCTATTCATTTTCTATTCTATTCTATTTTCTATTCTATTCTTTTTTCTATTCTATTCTATTCATTTTCTATTTTTATTCTATTCTATTTTCTATTCTATTCTATTTTCTATTCTATTCTATTTTCTATTCTATTCTATTCATTTTCTATTCTATTCTATTTTCTATTCTATTCTTTTTTCTATTCTATTCATTTTCTATTTTTATTCTATTCTATTATTCTATTCTATTCTATTTTCTATTCTATTCTATTTTCTATTCTATTCTTTTTTCTATTCTATTCTATTCATTTTCTATTTTTATTCTATTCTATTATTCTATTCTATTATTCTATTCTATTCTTATTCTATTCTATTCTTATTCTATTTTTATTCTATTCTATTATTCTATTTTCTATTCTATTCTTATTCTATTCTATTATTCTATTCTATTCTATTCTTATTCTATTCTATTCTATTATTCTATTCTATTCTTATTCTCTTTTTATTCTATTCTATTATTCTATTCTATTATTCTATTCGCTTAACAATCAGGTTACTCACTTCTCAACTGCACTGATTCACTTAACAACTGTGGCAAGACAAGTCGCAAAACTCACTTAACAACTGTCTCACTCAACGACAGGAAAACGTTCCAGAGAAATCTCTGATCTTCTTCATCCATCTTATTTAGTGTCTTGCCCTTCTTTCTCCTTCATTCAAGCATGTTAATCACCGCTGTATTTTTCTAACCCACCCAATATCTAAGGGGCTGCCACAAAGAAGAGGAGGTCAGCCTGTTCTCCAAAGGACCTGAAGAAGCAATGGATGGAAGCTAACTACTCAGTGGGATGGCTTTCCTCCAGAAGTTATGGGTGCTCCAACACTGGAGGTTTTTAAGAAGAGATTGGACAGGCGCTTATCTGGAATGGTAAGGTCTCCTTCTTGAGCTGGCAGTTGGACTAGAAGACCTCCAAAGTCCCTTCCAACTCTGTTGAAGAGAATAGAATAGAATAGAATAGAATAGAATAGAATAGAATAGAATAGAATAGAATAGAATAGAATAGAACAGAACAGAACAGAACAGAACAGAACAGAACAGAACAGAACAGAATAACAGAGTTGGAAGGGACCTTGGAGGTCTTCTAGTCCAACCCCCTGCTTAGGCAGGAAATCCTACACCACTTCAGACAAATGGTTATCCAACATCTTCTTTAAAACTTCCGGTGTTGGAGCGTTCACAACTTCTGGAGGCAAGTTGTTCCAGTGATTAATTGTCCTCACTGTTAGGAAATTTCTCCATAGTTCTAAGTTGCTTCTCTCCTTGATTAGTTTCCACCCGTTGCTTCTTGTCCTACCTTCAGGTGCTTTGGAGAATAGCTTGACTCCCTCTTCTTTGAGGCAGCCCCTGAGATATTGGAAGACTGCTATCATGTCTCCTCTAGTCCTTCTTTTCATTAAACTAGACATACCCAGTTCCTGCAACCGTTCTTCATATGTTTTAGCCTCCAGTCCCCTAAGCATCTTTGTTGCTCTTCTCTGCACTCTTTCTAGAGTCTCAACATCTGGATGCAGAATTTCTGTTATCTGCTCGCATTACATGTCCATAATATGTGAGATTCTGCTTGCTAATTGTCTCCTCAGGATAACGGTCAGCCTTTATTTCCTCTTGGCCCCATTGATTGACTCTTCTTGAAGTCCATGGTAACTTAGTAACCCATAATTCAGAGATGTTCTGTCTTCTTCCTCCTCTAATTCTTTCTTAAATGTCCAGCTTTCGCAGCCACGCGTTGCTCCTAGGGAGACCCATTGCTTTCACTCTTCTGATCCCAGTTGTCATAGAAATATCCTTACCCTTCATGATCTCGCCTAAATTGGCCATTTCCGTCTTTCCTGGGATTAATCGTCTTTACGTCTCAAGCATGCCTCCCGTTTCGTTTCTACTTCAGCCGAAAAAACAAATCTTTTTTTTTTCCTTTCAGCTGTGATTTTTTTTTTTTAACCTGAAAATTTTATATGTTACAAAAGTGCTTTTTTCAAGAGGCAACTGGACTTTCTGGTTTTTTTCTTTTGAAGATGTTTCGCTTCTCATCCAAGAAGCTTCTTCAGCTCTGACTGGATGGTGGGGAACGGAAGGATTGATACTCCTTGCAGACAGCTGGTCATTTGCATCCTTTTTACGAAGTTGTTGAGGCCATCTGGAGATTGGTTTGAAAGAGGGGTCAAAGAGGCCATCTATGTCAAAATTGAACAGCCCTCTCTCAACAGAGGGGTGGGATACGACATCTGTATCCAGTCTACCGCTCCTCAGATGACCCTGAAGACACAGATAAACCTCCAAGTGGCCTCACTGATTCTCTAAAACGATGCAAATGACCAACTGTCTGCAAAGGGATATAAATCCTTCCGTTTCCCCACCCCCACCCCAATCCAGTCAGAGCTGAAGAGGCTTCTTGGAGGAGAAGCGAAACATCTTCAAAGAAAAACCAGAAAGTCCAGTTGCCTCTTGAAAAAAGCACCTTCCGGACAACCATGACCTGGATGGCTGAGAATCTCCATACAGATTTATACCTTATATAAAAGAAATCCTGGACAGGTAACAAAATACACAAGCAATACAAAACTCAACGCTCATGTAAAGTGCTTTTTCAAGAGGCAACTGGACTTCCTTCGCTTTTCTTTGAAGACGTTTTGCTCCTCATCCGTATTTATCCATAATTAGGACAGTTGCACTGTCCGGATGTCACTGGCAACCTTCCCAACTAGTTTCCAACAAGCAAAATTTTCGTTGCTAAGCGAAACATTTGTTCCGTTGCTCCATTGTATGACCTTTCTTGCCACCACGATTATTAAGTGAATCACCGCAACTGCTAAGGAAGTAATACGGTTGTTAAGTAAATCTGGCTTCCCCCATTGAATTTGCTTGTCAGACGGTCGCAAAAGGGGATCAAATGACCCTCAAGATACTCATGATTTATTTATTTATTTGTCAAGAACATATTAGGTAATAAGTATAAGCATGGATTGGATACATGAAAAGAGCAAGTAAAAAAGGAATATTAGGACAGGGACGGTAGGAACGCTAGTGCACTTATGCACGCCCCTTACAGACCTCTTAGGAATGGGCTGAGGTCAACAGTAGACAGTTTAAGGTTAAAGTTATGGGGGGTTTGGGGAAGAGACCACAGAGGCAGGTAGTGCAGGATCAAACTGCTAGCAGTGGGCAGAATCAGCCTGCAATGCTGCATTCTTACCACCGTGCCACCAGGACTCTTGAGAGAGGAAGGAAGGAAGGAAGGAAGGAAGGAGACTTATATACCGCTTTACGGTTCTTTACAGCCCTCTCTAAGCAGTTTACAGAATCAGCGTCTTGCCCTTCCAACAATCCGGGTCCTCATTTTACCCACCTCGGAAGGATGGAAGGCTGAGTCCACCTTGAGCCGGTCAGGATCAAACTGCTAGCAGTGGGCAGAATCAGCCTGCAATGCTGCATTCTTACCACCGTGCCACCAGGACTCTTGAGAGAGGAAGGAAGGGAAGGAAGGAAGGAAGGAAGGAAGGAAGGAAGGAAGGAGACTTATATACCGCTTTACGGTGCTTTACAGCCCTCTCTAAGCGGTTTACAGAGTCAGCCTCTTGCCCTTCCAACAATCTGGGTCCTCATTTTACCCACCTCGGAAGGATGGAAGGCTGAGTTCACCTTGAGCTGGTCAGGATCAAACTGCTAGCAGTGGGCAGAATCAGCCTGCAATGCTGCATTCTTACCACTGTGCCACCAGGACTCTTGAGAGAGGAAGGAAAGAGACTTATATACCGCTTTATGGTGCTTTACAGCCCTCTTTAAGCGGTTTACAGAGTCAGCCTCTTGCCCCCAACAATCTGGGTCCTCATTTTACCCACCTCGGAAGGACGGAAGGCTGAGTCAACCTTGAGCTGGTCAGGATCAAACTGCCAAACTGCAGGCAGCTGGCAGTCAGCAAAAGTAGCCTGCAGTACTGCATTCTAACCACTGGGCCACCGTGGCTCTTGTAACACTCTTGTTAAGTAAATCTGGCTTCCCCCCATTGACTTTGCTTGTCAGAAGGTCACCAAAGGGGATATAACATGACCCCGGGATACTTCAACCGTCATAAATATGAACCAGTTGTCAAGCAGCTGAAATTTGATCATGTGACCATTGGGGGATGCTGCGATGGACGTAAGTGGGAAACAGCCACAAGTCCCTTTTTTTTTTCCAGCACCGTTGTAACTTTGAACGGTCACTAAACGAACTGTCGTAAGTTGAGGATTTCATGTACTTTGAGAGAAAAGACCTGTAATATGCAGGCTTCAAACCAAGTGCTCCTATAGATGTGTAACGGATGAGACATAATAGAAAGAAAGTCACCCAGATTGCAGAACATTGACAGAAACGGCGCTGACAAAGTTTTCTGAATTGGACCACTTTTCCAAGGAATATCCAACTTGTGTGGCCGGTTGGATGGGAATTGTAGTCCAAAACTACAATTTGCAAATTTGGGGTTGAGGAAGCTTTAAAAGTGGGATGCATACTCTTTTTTTTTTAATAAAAGAAAAACGATGAACGCTTTGGATATATACTTCTTCATCTGCCTTTTTATAGTGTTAATTCAATATACGTCTGTATGTAGAATATTCTATATTCTAGGACAGTGAGGGCTAACCTTTTTGCCATCGTGTGCCAAAAGCGGGGGGAACGCAGGGGGGGTCACACACATGCATGCCGGCGCCCATAATTCAATGTGCCCCGCCCCCCCATGCATGTGAGTGCAACACACACACACACACACACCCCGCGACCCCCGCTATTGGCACACGGTGGGACCGGAAGGTCCATTTTTCGCCCTCCCCAGGCTCCAGAGCCTTTCTAAGAGCCTGGGGAGGACAAAAACGGCCTCCTGATATCCAGTGGGCCTGGAAGGCCCAAAAATCAGCTGGCCAGGGCGCGCATGTGCGCTGGAGCTGAGATATGGCTCTGCGTGCAACCTGTAGCACGTGTTCACCATCACAGTTCTAGGATGTAGCAGAAAATATTACAGCTGCTTACAGTTTTGTGTGTGTGCTGTGTGTGTTTATGTGTGCATGTGTTAAAAACAGCCCATTTCCTTCCCAAAGCAACTCTGTGTACAATCTGCAAGTAAAATATTAAAACATAAAAACTGTACCATAAATACAGTTAGCTATAGAACTGTTACAGAATCAAGGGTGAAAGTTATTGGAAGAAACATCAAGTTGCAAATTGACTAAATCAAGATTTTAAAAAAAAGAGATAATATCTACCTAAAGAGAGTCGATATTTGTGACTTCATCGGTAGACAAAATAATTATCCAGTTTGACTCCAAATTGTGCTAATCGGCTTTAGAACAGTTGTTAAGTGTCCTCTGCTTGTTCTCTGCTTTATTGTTGACAAAACCGAATGTGTAGCTCAGGGCTGAACTGTGAGGTCCTTGGTGGTCTCTGAGCTTGGTTGTTTTCCTGCAGACGTCTCATAACCCAATTAGGTAACATCATCAGTGCTAGAAAGCAGTAAGATTTGTTCTCAGCTCCCATGCTCTCAGCAAACCCCACTCGCTTCATGACCCTAGTTGGGTCATGAAACATCTGTATAAAAAAAAAAAAAAAAAGCAACCAAGCTCAGAGACCACCAAGGACCCCACCCCCACCCCCCAAAAAACCAATTTTCTCAATTTAAATCGGAAAGAGGTCATTTGTCTTTTCTTTCCCCCGAAGCTAATTTTGTGGCAGATGGAGACAAGGCTCCTTGTTCCTCCCCTTGTGCTTCCTTCTCAGCTGAAGACTCCGAAGAAGATTCCATCGCTCCTAATGACTGCAAGAAGGTAAGGCTTTGGCATCCCATAATTGTCCTCCCTCATTAGCACAGGCGCCCAGCAAATTCTGCTTTCTGGCTTAGACTCCACGCAGAAGATTTGAGGCTCAAGCTGTTGGTGTTTTCAGGAGCCAGCAGAAATTGGCTTAAGAGACCCATCTGTCTCTGTTCCTGACAGCCAGGTATCCCCAGGTAGCTCAGAAGGAAGCTGTAAAAGAGACAGGAGAAATTTCCTGACAATTAGAACAATTAATCAGTGGAACAACTTGCCTCCAGAAGTTGTGAATGCTCCAACACTGGAAGTTTTTGAGAAGAGATTGGACAGCCATTTGTCTGAAGTGGTGTAGGGTTTCCTGCCTAAGCAGGGGGTTGGACTAGAAGACCTCCAAGGTCCCTTTAAACTCTGTTATTCTATTCTATTCTATTCTATTCTATTCTACTCTACTCTACTCTACTCTACTCTACTCTACTCTACTCTATTCTATTCTATTCTATTCATGGATGGTCACAGTGGAAATCGTGCAAGTGATATCACATGATTTAAGTTCCCCTTTTCAGAGCGAGGTGACTTCTGACTATGGTTAGGGTTGGAAGTCTGTATTACAGGTAGTCCTCGACGTCCGACCACAATTCAGCCCAAAATTTCTGTTATTAAGTGAGACATTTGTTAAGTGAATTTTGCCCCATTTTACAACCTTTCTTGCCTCAGTTGTTAAGTGAACCACTGCAGTTGTTAAGATAGTAACATGGTCATTAAGTGAATCTGGCTTCTCCAGTGACTTTGCTCGTCAGAATAGCAATAAGAATAACACTTAGACTTATATACCGCTTCACAGTGCTTCACAGCCCTCTCTAAGCGGTTTTACAGAGTCAGCATCTTGCCCCCAACAATCTGGGTCCTCATTTTACAGACCTCAGAAGGATGGAAGGCTGCTGAGTCAACCTTGAGCCAGGTGAGATTCGAACTGCTAAACTGCTGGCAGTCGGCAGAAATAGCCTGCAATATTGCATTCTAACTATGAGCTGCATTGGTGTAGTGGTTAGAGTGCGGTACTGCAGGCTACTTCTGCTGACTGCCGGCTGACTGCAATTTGGTAGTTCAAATCTCACCAGGCTCAGTGTTGACTTAGACTTGAAAAAGTGACTTACAGCCGTTTTTCACCCTTACGACCGTTGCAGCCTCCTCGTAGTCACGTGATCCAAACTCGGCCGCTTGGCAACTGGCATGAATTTATGACGGTTGTACTGTCCCAAGGTCACCTGATCGCCATTTGCGACCTTCCTAGCCAGCTTCCAACAAGCAAAGTCAGTGGGAGAAGCCAGATGTCAAGGTTCTGTCCTGACCTAAGCTTCCCCTGCAGCACGAAGCCAAGTCCTCGTCCCGATAAACCACTTTTATTTAATTGACAGTGAATTCCTCTCCAGCAAAGTCTTTCAAGATAGTTCACAATGACCGACCTTTATCAGGCTTGGAGAGTGGCCAGGCCGATATCTTTCAGACTCCACAATACTTGGCAAGAATGCAATAATGAACTAATTGTCTCCTGCAAATTCCCCTCCCCTTTTGCTCCCCTTTTATTCCCTCTGGGAGGGGCCCATTCACTGTCCACCTGTGGCTTTACTCCTGAGTCGACCCTTGTTCCTTAGCTGTTCCCTTTGCCTGGCAGCTCTGCGCATGCACACACTGGGAACAGGCCCCAGCTGTTCGTCTGCCTCACTGATGTCTGCCTCCGAAGGCAAATGATAACTGGCATATGGCCCTGGCCCCCTCTCTGCCTCCGATGCAGAGCCCTCATCAGAGCCATCCCCAGGCTCCAGGACTGGCCCATGTTCCTCCCCAACCTCCTCACTGTCCGAATCTGCTTCCAGATCCGCTGGTGGGCCACAACAGGTTCCAAGTAATACATCCCCAACAATAAGAACTCAGAGGCAGGCATATTCCTCAAAGAACATTTTATTGGGACATATCATATTGGCACAAGCTTGGTGGAAAACCAGCTCTTAAATTCCCGCCGGTTTTGCATCCAATTCAAATAAGTCACCAGTCACATGACCCAATCAGCATACAGTCCAGTTGCTAGGTGACCTCAGTCTCCACCTTCTGATCACCTGCAGAAACGTCCTTGATTCCCAGGGGAAAGAATTTTATTTTGGCTACAGCACCCCAGCTATCTATACCAGAGGTGGTATTCACTTACCTTCCCTACCAGTCCTCAAATGTGAGCGCACGCGCCATCTCTGCACATGCGCACGGCCTTCTGCACACACACAGTAGTCGTGCATTACGTGCGGGCGGGTGGGTGAAGCCTCCCGCAGTCACTGCTACCGGTTTGTGTGATCCGGAGAGAACCGGCTGAATCCCACCACTGCTCTATACCCCCCCCCTCCCTGCCCCTCAGCTCCAGGCTGTGTCAGCCCTGCAGCAATGTGAAAACTAAAACTCTCATAGGAAAGGCTACAAGGGCAGCAAATGGCCACAGTTAGGCCACTTCACGGTTGACACCAGATTCGCTTAAAAACTACATGATTCCCTGAACAACTGCAGTGATTTGCGCAACAGCTGTGGCAACAAAGGTCCTAAAATGTTAAAATGTTATTAAGACCAGCTGCCTGCAATTACTGCAGGTTTGAATCTCGCCAGGCTCAAGGTTGACTCAGCCTTCCATCCTTTCTAAGGTAGGTAAATTGAGGACCCAGTTGTGGAGGCAATAAGGTGACTTTGTATAAATATACAAAAGGATGAAGGCTCTTGCTTAACGCACTGTAAGCCGCCCTGAGTCTCCGGAGAAGGGCGGCATATAAATCAAATTTAAAAAAAAAAAGGGACGAGGCTTGTTTAACAATTGCCTTGCTTAGCAACAGGAATTTGGAGCTCAATTGGTATATTTTTAAGATCAGAGATAAGATTTAAATTTGATGAAGTAATAATTAAATAAAGAATTAATGAATAGTATATGAAGTAATAAAATGTGGGGAAGTTTTAGAAATTGAAATAAGATTCAGAAGCATAAATATGTTTGAACTGTACTGTTAATAGTGAGAATTTAGGGTAAGAATTGTGAAATGTATTATGAGGTATTATTTGAATTAAGATTTAAGGTGGATTAATAGAAGGGTAATAGTTTTGATTATCTTAATATGAGTAAGCTTACTATAAGATGGTAATAGTTGAGATATGTGAGCCAAGATTAAGAAATAAATGTTATGGCAAAAATAGAACATACAAAATTGTGTTAAAAATGAAACAAAAAGCTGAACAAACGTATGACCGGATCAATGCTCTGTTCCGAAAAGATGTATTATTGTATGTTTGTCTGTGTGTTTTAAAAATTGTATTTAAAAAACTGCAAAAAAAAAAGAAAAAAAAGAAAGAAATTTGGAGCTCAATTGGGGTTGTAAATTGAGGATTACCTGTACCCTTGAAGCTTCTTAGGCAGAGATTTCAGTCAAGGAAACAAGTATCCCTTTTGCAGATGGAATTTAGCCACTCTGCCCTCAAAGATGGCGTCCTTCCGCTTATAATATCTACACATTTTACTCCCCCCCCCCCCACTTTTTAGGAGATCATGGTGGGACCTCAGTACCAGGCCATTGTCCCTCTCTTGGACTTGAACCGGCAGGGCGAAAAAGGTGAGCAATTTTTCTCCTGAGGAGCCTTGTTGTTTTAGCCTTCGGCAGTGCTGTATGGGTGTCTTTAATCTTCTCATTCTAGAAGTTAACCTTCAGGGCCAGGAGCTGTGCAAATCGGGCTGTCCTTGGACAATACCAGTTGAGGATTTCGGAGTTTTGGAAAAACAAAGAAATAGCCCCTGGGGGGAAAAAAGTGAAAATTTGCCGTGTTTTGCAGACAATGAAAAGAACAAGCCTTGTTGCTTGAACACCTTGTCTTCTTCTTTACAAACCTACAGTATTTGAGTTTTTCATTGAGGTTCTCACCTCAGAGTTAAAATGCTGAACATTTGTCTCACAATTGTGATGGGTGCAACCAGAACGTTGGTCTCACAATTGTCATGTGTGCAACCAGGGCCTAGGAGTGAGTTTGGTTGAGCCCAGTTTCCTAGATTCCTTGTAATGGGAATGGAGAAACTGCTTGCTTGCTTGCTTGCTTATTTCCTTATTTATTAGACTTTTACCTCTCCTTTTTTTTCCTTATAACTAACTCAAGGCAGCAAGCATATTTAATACTCCGTCCTCCTCCTGTTTTCCCCACAACAATCCTGTGAGATGGGTTGGGCTAAGAGAGAAGGACTGGCCCAAAGTCACTCCCAGCCAGTTTTTATGCCTAAAGTGGGATTAGAATTCATAGTCTCCTGGTAGTTGGCCTAAAGTCACCCAGCTGTCTTTCATGCCTAAGGTGGGACTAGAACTCACCGTCTCCTGGTGGTTGGCCTAAAGTCACCCAGCTGTCTTTCATGCCTAAGGTGGGACTAGAACTCACCGTCTCCTGGTGATTGGCCCAAAGTCACCCAGTTGCTTTCATGCCTAAGGTGGGACTAGAACTCACCGTCTCCTGGTGATTGGCCCAAAGTCACCCAGTTGCTTTCATGCCTAAGGTGGGACTAGAACTCACCGTTTCCTGGTGATTGGCCCAAAGTCACCCAGTTGGCTTTCATGCCTAAGGTGGGACTAGAACTCACCGTCTCCTGGTGATTGGCCCAAAGTCACCCAGTTGCTTTCATGCCTAAGGCGGGACTAGAACTCACCGTCTCCTGGTGATTGGCCCAAAGTCACCCAGTTGGCTTTCATGCCTAAGGCGGGACTAGAACTCACCGTCTCCTGGTGATTGGCCCAAAGTCACCCAGTCTGCTTCTATACCTATTAGGTATAGGTATATACCTATACCTATACCTATTAGAATTCATCGTCTCCTGGTAATTGATCCTAAAATCATCCAGCCAATTTTCATGCCTATGGTGGAACTAGATCTCAATCACCTCTTGTGATTGGCCCGACATCACCCAGCCGGCTTTCATGCTTAAAGTGGGACTAGAAATCACAATCTCCTGGTTTCTAGGCCAGGACTTTAACCACCACACTAAACTCTGGATTTAGTCTTTCTCTTTCTCTCTGTCTCTCTCTCTCTCTCACTCACTCACTCTTTCGTTTTTCACCTAGTCTATGAAAATGATGACCAGTTGCTGTGGGATCCAAACATCCTTCCGGAGAGGGAGGTGGAAGAATTCCTCTTCCGAGCTATCAAGAGGAGATGGGATGAAGTCTCCAACGCCAGGCTTCCTGAAGGAGAGATGGTGAAGGATAACGAACAAGTGAGTTCTGTGTGGCTAAGGCTCCCCCATCACGAGTGAGATTGCTGCAAGGAAGATGCTTATGAACGGTAGGAAGATTAATTAATGAGTTGCTGTATTTTTTGGAGTATAAGACGCTCCGGAGTATAAGACGCACCTTAGTTTTGGGGGAGGAAAATAAGAAAAAAAAATATCTGCCTCTGCCTACCAGCATCCATCGGTATTCATCTGGCTAGCGTCCTGTCGGTGTGTGAGACTGTTTGGAAACTGAAACAGTATTTGCTATGTGAGCAGCAAGGAGCCTGGGCATGGCTTAGGTCAATTGTTCTAAAGCTGCATGTTGTGTTGATCTCTGAAACTGAAACTGAAACTCCTCTCCTCTGCTTGTGTTTTGCTTGCTGCTGCAAACTCTGAGACTCCTTGCAGCAAATAGCGAACAGCCAAGTCAGCTTCAGGACATTATTGCAGCCTGATTCAACACGAGCAGCTGATTGGTGGGTGGATCGGCCTCCCGGAATACCCCAATCAGCTGGTCCAGGGTACAGGGATTGCCATAGACCATTGCCTCCTCTGTGCCTCATGTTTTTGGCTACATTCGGTGTATAAGACGCATCCAAATTTTCACCCTCTTAGAGGGGAAAAAAGGTGTGTCTTATACTCTGAAAAACACGGTAATTTAAAAATTCTGATGCCACCTCAAACCTCCCCTCAGCAGAGAAGGATACTAGGGCAACAACCCCCCCCCCAAAAAAAAATAGATTAGCCTGTTTGCAAAAGTGTTTCGGCCCTAACAGTGATTCTTAACTTAACTTCTTTGTGCAAAAGACATGCCCAGGTCAGACAAAGCTTTAGCTACTGGATGCTAAAGTTGGCAGGTGCTTGGCTGGGGAAGATGTTAACCTAGTTGGGTAGTGGAAAGAACAAAAAAAAAAGATAAACTAGTTCAGAGAGCACCAAGGACTGCACAGATTAACCCTGAGCTACATATATTCCCTTCTCTTGGAGAGAAGGATGTTTCCAAGCCATGTCAAGGTCTTCAGCATCGAGTATCACGATGCCAATGGTGCTCTCTCAGCTTGCTTGTTTTCGTGCAGATGTTTCATTACCCAAAGGTATCAGTGCTAGAAGGGAATGGGAGGTGGTGGAGGAGGAGGAGGTGGAAGACATGGAGGACGACATGGAGAGGACGAGAAGGAGGTGGAGAACATGGAGGAGGAAGTGAGGAGGTGGAGAAGGAGGACATGGAGGAGGAGGTGGAGAACATGGAGGAGGAGGAGGACATGGAGAGGTGGAGGTGATGGTGGAGAAGGAGGTGGAGGAGGTGGAGGACATGGAGGAGGACATGGAGAGGAGGAGGTGGTGGTGGAGAAGCAGGGCATGGAGGAGGAGGGGAAAAAGGAGGACATGGAGGAGAAGAGGGGGAGGTGGAGGACATGGAGAGGAGGAGGAGGTGGTGGAGAAGGAGGACATGGAGAAGGAGAGGAAGTGGTGAAGGACATGGAGAAGAGGAGGAGGTAGTAGAGAAGGAGGACATGGAGGAGGTGGAGAACATGGAGGAGGAGGAGGACATGGAGAGGAGGAGGAGGTGGTGGAGAAGGAGGACATGGAGAAGGAGAAGAGGTGGTGAAGGACATGGAGAAGAGGTGGTGGAGAAGGAGGACATGGAGGAGGAGAGGAGGTGGTAGAGAACATGGAAAGGAGGAGTAGGTAGTGGTGGAGAAGCAGGGCATGGAGGAGGAGGAGGTGAAAAAGGAGGACATGGAGAGGAGGAGGAGGTGGTGGAGAAGGAGGACATGGAGAAGGAGAGGAGGTGGTGAAGGACATGGAGAAGAGGAGGAGGTGGTGGAGAAGGAGGACATGGGGGAGGAGGAGGTGGACATGGAGAGGAGGAGATGGTGGTGGAGAAGGAGGACATGGAGGAGGAGGAGATGGAGAACATGGAGAAGGAGAGGAGGAGGGAGTGGAGAAGAGGGAAAGGAGAACATGGAGGAGAACGACTGTGAGGTCCTTGATGCTCCCTGAACTTGGTTGTTTTCTTGCACACGTTGCTTCACAACGCGCTGCAGCTGAGCTGGGTCCCTCCTCAGCCATTGTTACCCCATAGTTTTTGTGCACGGTGACAGACAGTGGCAAGGTCTCGCTTCTTCTTCCCATCCCTTTTCCCTGCTCAGGTTCCTCTTTCTTGTCCCCGTAGCCAAAGCTGCTTTTCTGATCATCCGCCTCCCTGTGCGCTTCTGTCTCCCACAGGCCCTCTACGAATTGGTGAAATGTAACTTCAATGCAGAAGAAGCTTTGCGGCGACTCCGGTTCAACGTGAAGGTCATTCGAGGTGAGTCAGAAGGCAGTTCTTTCTATCCTTTCTCTTCTTTCTATCTTTCTTTTCTTTCTATCCTTTCTCTTCTTTCTATCTTTCTCTTCTCTTCTTTCTACCTTTCTCTTCTTTCTACCTTTCTCTTCTTTCTCTCCTTTCTCTTCTTTCTACCTTTCTCTTCTTTCTTTCTTTCTCTTCTTTCTATCCTTTCTCTTCTTTCTATCTTTCTCTTCTTTCTATCCTTTCTCTTCTTTCTATCTTTCTCTTCTTTCTATCCTTCTCTTCTTTCTATCCTTTCTCTTCTTTCTATCTTTCTCTTCTTTCTATCTTTCTCTTCTTTCTATCTTTCTCTTCTTTCTATCTTTCTCTTCTTTCTATATTTCTCTTCTTTCTATCCTTTCTCTTCTTTCTATCTTTCTCTTCTTTCTATCCTTTCTCTTCTTTCTATCTTTCTCTTCTTTCTTTCTCTTCTTTCTATCCTTTCTATCTTTCTCTTCTTTCTATCCTTTCTCTTCTTTCTATCTTTCTCTTCTTTCTTTCTCTTCTTTCTATCCTTTCTCTTCTTTCTATCTTTCTCTTCTTTCTCTCCTTTCTGTTGTTTGGCAGAAGTTCTGTAGTCCCACTTGGAAAAAAACCTCTCTCCCCTCCAGATTCCCCAAGCTCACCTTTTCAAACCTGGTCAATGGGGAAGCCTGATTCCTTCAACTACTCGTGTTCATAACTTAACAGCTGCAGGGATTCACTTAACAACGGCAGCAAGAAAGGTTGTAAAATGGAGCAAAACTCACTTAGCAACTGTCTCGCTTAGCAACAGAAATTTTGGGCTTCGTTGTGGTCGTAAGTCGAGGACTATCTGTACTTATTACAACATTTAAAGAACAGTAGCATAAAAGAAATAAAAAAAAAAGATGTAAAGAGACTTGGTAGATAAAGAATAAAATGCCGCTAAATGAACAAAGTGTTTGCAAATACCACCAAATTTGAATTTCCTTATCTCATGAATTGATTATTGAAATGTAAAGAACTCGGTTTCCTGCGGCATTTTATTTATTTTTATTTATTTTATTTGTTTTAATTTGTATACCGCCCTTCTCCAGCAGGACTCACAGCGGTGAACAGCCAGAATAAAACAGAACATACAAAATTTAAAAACAGTTTAAAAATAATTAAATATTTTTGGCTACAATTTAAAACAAACCCAATTAAAATCAATTAAAATTAACCAAAACTATGGGATCAAGCCAGCCCGGCTAGGTGAAATAAATAAGTTTTCAGGGCCCGACGAAAAGTCCGGAGGTCTGATATTGTACGTATCTCTGGGTTTTAGCTAGAAATCTCTAGTTATTAATATTATAAGAACATTTGTATTTGTCTAGGCAGTTGATAGTTGCTTGCATTTATACTTGCATTGGGTTCTGTTAATCTGGATTAAATGTTAATATCTATTGCTAGTCCATGTACATTATGCCATACGCTAAATAAATAAATAAATAATTTTAAAAAAATTTTTTTTTTATTTGATTTATATGCCGCCCTTCTCCGGAGACTCAGGGCAGCTTACAATGCGTTAAGCAATAGCCTTCATCCTTTTGTATGTTTTATACAAAGTCAGCTTATTGCCCCCACAAACTGGGTCCTCATTTCACCTACCTTAGAAAGGATGGAAGGCTGAGTCAACCTTGAGCCTTGGCGAGATTCGAACTTACAGTAATTGCAGGCAGCTGTGTTAATAACAGGGTTAATAACAGGGTGCATTAAACCACTGTACTACCAAGGCTCCTTGGTAACACTACTATTGGTACAGGTAGTCCTCGACTTATGCCCACATTGGAGCCCGACATTTCTGTTGCTAAAAATGCTCATAAATGTGAGTCAGTTGCCAAGCATCCGAATGTAGATCACATGACTATGGGGATGCTGCAACGGTCATAAGTGTGAAAAATGATCATAAGTCACTTTTTTCAGTGCCGTTGTAACTTTAAACGGTCACTAAGCAAACTGTTGTAAATCGAGGACTACGTGTACTTAAAACAGTTAGTGAATGTTGAAAGGTACAACAGTATTGAAAAGAACGACCTATGACCGATTTACACATTTACGACCATTGCAGCCTCCCCATGATCACGTGATCAAAATTCAGAACCCTGGGCAACCGGCTCATATTTACGACGGTTGCAGTGTCCTGGAGTCACATGATCCCCCCCTTTTGTGACCTTCTGACAAGCAAAGTCATTGGGGAAGCCGGATTCACTCAACAACCGTGTTACCAACTTAACAGCCGCAGTGATTCACTTAACCACTGTGGCAAGAAAAGTTGTAAAACGGGGCAAAACTAAACAAGCGTCTCGCTTAACAACAGACATTTTGGGCTTGTCGTAAATCGAGGACTAGCTGTAATCCGGTTGCTAGAATTCTCGTACCCTCTCCTCTCCCTCTCAGTAGGTCTTGCTAAGCAGTTCCTGCGTAGCTCATGCGCTCTGTGCGAAAGTCAAAGAACAGAGCGTTTCCAAGGTAGTCCTACGTCTCCTGCCTTGAAAGAAAGAATCGTGGATCAGCGATCGATGCAACAATTAAATGCAGTCACTTCCAATAAAGTCAGGATCTCGTTGCAGAACGATCCGGCAAGAGCAGATAAAAATATCTGTCAGTGCTTGGAGATTGAAGCATATTTCTCCTTTAATTAAAAAAAAAAAAAAATCTGCCTCAGTTATTGAACAGCTTTAAAAATATCTACATGGAGTGCTCTAATTTCTAAAAGTTTAGGAAAAATAATTTTTCTTTATAGAGGATAGCTATCTATCTATCCATCCATCCATCCATCCATCATCCATTCATTATCTATCTATCTATCTTATCTATCTATCTATCTTTCAATCTATACCTACCTACCTACCTACCTATCTAAGATATATATGTATGTATGTATATGTATATCCTTCTTCTATCCTCCCTCTTTCTTTCTTTTTCTTTCTTTCTTTACTTCCTTCCTCCCTCCCTCCCTCCTTTCTTACTTTCTTCCTTTCCTTCCTTCCTTCCTTCTTTCCTTCCTTCCTTCCTTCCACCCTCCCTCCTTTCTTACTTTCTTTCTTTCTTTCCTGCCTTCCTTCCTTCCTTCCTTCCACCCTCCCTCCCTCTTTCCTTCCTCCCTCCCTCCTTTCTTTCTTTCTTTCCTGCCTTCCTTCCTTCCTTCCTTCCACCCTCCCTCCCTCTTTCCTTCCTCCCTCCCTCCTTTCTTTCTTTCTTTCTTTCTTTCTTTCTTTCTTTCTTTCTTTCTTTCTTTCTTTCTTTCTTTCTTTCTAGTAGAGCCACAGTTAAACCCAGAATTTCTTTTCCTAAGAGAGACAGTTGTTAAGTGAGTTTTGCCCCCATTTGATCACCTTTCTGGCCCCAGTTGTTAAGTGAATCACTGCAGCTGTTAAATTAGTTAATGAATTCTTGTTAAATTAATCCAGCTTCCCCATTGACTTTGCTTGTCAGAAGGTCGCAAAAGGGGATCACGTGATCCCCGGGGCACTGCAATAGGAGTCACTTGCCAAGTGTCTGAATTTTTGATCCTGTGACCCTGGGGAGGCTGCAATAGTTGTGTGAACAATGGCCATAAGTCACTTCTATCAGTGCCGACGTAACTTTGAACGGTCACTAAAAAAACCTGTTCTAAGTCGAGAACTACTTGTACGAAGACGACCATAGAGACAGACTGCATCTACTGTCAGTAAAATGTGACTTTAGGACAAGAAAATAAGAGAAAAAAGCTTGTTTGTCCTACTTTGATTCTTTTTTTTATGGCTTTAAGATTCTGCTCTTAACAACCTATAGCAATAAAGTCGAATTCTAGTATTTTTGGTAGCCTTTATATCCTGACCTGGCCTGGCCTATCTTGCAGGGCTGACATTCTGTTCCTGATTGCTTCTCTCCCCCTTACAGATGAGCTCTGTGCCTGGAGCGAAGAAGAATGCAGGAACTTCGAACATGGATTCCGGGTGCATGGAAAAAACTTCCACCTTATTCAAGCCAACAAGGTAATTTTAAAGTCACCCACTTTCAAAACCAGCCAGGTACCTGTAATGTCCTCTGGGAATCCTAAGCAGGATTGTGGCTCCATTGCAAAGGTGCAGAGGAAAAGGCTAGGTGGCAGGAGGCTGACTCCCCTTCTTACCTTCTTGCAGGGCCTGGCAAGTTTGGGCATCATGATGACAATTTAGAGACCAGAGGTCAGCAACCCGCAGCTCTGGAGCCGCATGTGGCTCTTTCATCCCTCTGCTGTGGCTCCCTGTCGCCAGTCGGCTTCACAATTGATAGGGTTTTCGGTTAGGACAGGTAGAAGAAAAAGGACGCCGTCTAGGAGGAGACTCTATGGTGGGGGAACCAGACTTCCGGTCGGCTCCAGAATTGAATGGGGGGGGGGGCTTCCGGTTAGGACCTTTGTGGCTCTTTGAGTGTTTAAGGTTGCCGACCCCTGATTTAGACGAAGGTTGCCCAACCTTGGCAAGTTTAAGACTTGTGGCCTTCAACTCCCAGAATTCCCCAGTCAGCCATGGACTCAAAATTTCCGCTACCGGTTCTCCGAACTGCTCAAACTTTCCGCTACCGGTTCTCCGAACTGCTCAAACTTTCCTCTACCGGTTCTCCAGAACCTGCTGGATTTCACCCCTGCCCTAGACCATTTCAGACAAGTGGCTGTCCCGTCTTTTCAAATAACGCTTCACCCTTCTACCGGTTTTTGTAGGTCCGGACCAGGTCAGTAGGCGAATGCGTGGAATACTATTACATATGGAAGAAATCGGAGCGGTACGACTACTTCACCCAACAGACGCGGTTTGGAAGGAAGAAGTACGTCCTACCTCCTGAAGCCACTTGCTGGCCAGAGAGTAATGTCTGGTGCCACTGGCCGTAGTTGGCGAAGCATTGAATCCCCATGGAATTGCGCCCAGAGCTTTTGACCCTAATCCTTAGGTGGCTTGAGTCCAGAAATCTGCATATGGGCATTTGAAAGCTGGAAATTAACACACCCACATCCTTGGTAAAGTCAGAATTTGGTAGAATACAGGTAGTCCTTGACTTACAACCATCCGTTTAGTGACCTTTTAAAGTTACTAAACGGGAGGGAGGGAGAGAGGGAGGGAAGGAAAGAATAGGAGGAAGGAAGGAGTAGGAGGGAAGAAGGAAGGAAAGGAGGGAGGAAAGAAAAGAAAAGAAAAGAAAAGAAAGGAAGGAAAGAAAGAAAGAAAGAAAGAGAAAGAAAAAGAAAGAAAGAAAGAGAAAGAAAGAAAGAAAAGGAGTATGAGGAAAGAAGGGAGGGAGGGAAGGAAGGAAGGACCATGGTGGCACAGTAGTGAGAGTGCACTATTGCAGGGTGGCTCTGCCCACTGCCAGGAGTTCGATCCTCACCAGCTCAAGGTTGGCTCAGCCTTCCACCCTTCCGAGATCAGTAGAATGAGGACCCGGGTTGTTGGGGGCAAGAGGATGACTCTGTAAACCGCTTAGAGAGGGCTGTAAAAGCACTGTGAAGCGGTATATAAGTCTAAGCACTGCTGTGATTTGCATTTGATTTCTAATTTCCAATTGACCTCATGCCAGACAGAGACAGCCAAAGGACAAGGATGTGGGGGCATCAAATGGCCATAGATGGAAATTTTTAATCTTTGGTTTAATCCTACAAAGTCTCCTAGGATTGCAGAGTGTGGAAGACTCTGAAAACTGCAGGTAGTCCTCGACTTACAATGCTTCGTTTAGTGACCGTTCAAAGTCTACAGCGGCACTGAAAAAAGTGACTTACGACCGTTTTTCACAGTTACGATCTTCGCAGCAGAGGCACAATAACATGATCTAAATCCAGATGCTTGGCAGCTGGATCGTATTTATGACGGTCGCTGCGTCCCAAGGTCACGCAATCCCTTTTTACGAACCTTCTGTCAAGTAAAATCAACGGGGGAAGCCAGATTCACTTAACCACCGTGTTACTAACTTATTATTAACTGCAGTGATTCACTTAACAACTGTGGCAAGAAAGGTCGTAAAATGGGGCAAAGCTCGCTTCATTGATGTCTCACTTAACAACATAAATTTGGGGCGAGTCAATTGTGGTCGTAAGTCGAGAACTACCTGAAGACTGCTTTGTTCATATGGAAAAACCACCGACATGTTTGCCCCTCTTTTGTCTCCTTCCGTCTCTTCCCAACTCCGTAGGGATTACGTGGATAACTTTTTAGATGGCGGGGAAGTGGAAAGCGCCAGCCGCGCGCGAAGCTCTCCGCCCATTGCGTCGGCCGCTGGCTGCCTGGACTCCTGTTTCAATCCGGATCATTTAACAATGGAGACGGCAGGTACGTTTTTACAAGGTTTGCACGTCTTCTCGATCCCAGTAAACGGGGTTGGTTAGTCCTGCATGTGGATGCATCCAGCTCTGTCTCCCTAACTCTAAGCAGAGGAAATGGTGGGGACCGGCTGCACGTGCGTTTAAATATTTTTTGGGGAGGGCTTATTTTCGGGAAAACACTGTAGCTATATATATATCTATATCTATATATATCTATATATCTATATCTATCTATATCTATCTATCTATCTATCTATCTATCTATCTATATATATATTTGTTTTCTCAGGTTTTCGCGGGTGTTTGTATGTAGGTCTTTGGTTATTCGGGTCTTCTCCCACGTAAAATTGGAAGTGTCTTGGCGACGTTTCGACGAAGTCTCATTCGTCATCTTCAGGCTGGTGTTCTCTACATTTTCTTACTTCTTCGTAGGGTTTATGTGTGTTTTTCTTCTAGCCAGGTTTTCCCTACGTAACCTACAAAAAACACATAAACCCTACGAAGAAGTAAGAAAATTGATACTGTACCTTTACAGGGAGGATACATAAGATATGGGTATGGCCTACTGAAGAAAGCAAACGAGCTAGAAATGGATCTATTTAGGTCTCCCACCTAGCAGTTAGAGCTTGCTAGCTGTTAGAAAGGAAAAAGCCCAGAACCGAGTAGATGTGATTCTACTGAGCTGGAGCTACAAAAAACCTTGGTTACGTAGGGAAAACCTGGCTAGAAGAAAAACACACATAAACCCTATGAAGAAGTAAGAAAATTGATACTGTACCTTTACAGGGAGGATACATAAGATATGGGTGTGGCCTATTGAAGAAAGCAAACGAGCTAGAAATGGATCTATTTAGGTCTCCCACCTAGCAGTTAGAGCTTGCTAGCTGTTAGAAAGGAAAAAAGCCCAGAACCAAGTAAAACCTGGCTAGAAGAAAAACATATATATATATATAGATAAACTTCCAATGTTGGGGCATTTACAACTTCTGGAGGCAAGTTGTTCCACTGATTACTTGTCCTCACTGTCAGGAAATTTCTCCTTAGTTCTTGGTTGAATATATTAGTTTCCATCCATTGCTTCTTGTTCGGTCTTCAGTTGCTTTGGAAAATTTAGGAGCCTTGGTGGTGCAGCGGACTAAGTGCTGTTATGTAGCACTTAGCTGCCTGCAATTAGTCCAAGTTCAAATCTCACCAGGCTCAAGTTTGACTCAGCCTTCCATCCTTCCGAGGTAGGTAAATTGAGGAGCTGGATTGTGGGGGCAATCAGCTGACTTTGTAGAAACACCGCTTATGGGGGGCCAAAGCCCTAATAAGCAGGTATATACAAAAGAATGAAGGCTATTGCTATAAGTGCATTGTAAGCTGCTCTAAGTCTTCGGAGAAGGGCGGCATATAAATTGAACTAATAAATAAATAAATAAATAATAAAATAGGTTGACACCCCACCCACCCCTCTTCCTCTTGGCAGCCTCTTAGATATTGAAAGACTGCTATCATGTCACCCCAGTTCTTCTTTTCACTACACTAGATAACCCAGTTCCTGCAACTGTCCTTCAAATGTTTCAGTCTCCAGGCCCTTAACCATCTTTGTTGCTCTTCTCTGCACTCTTTCTAGAGTCTCCACATCTTTTTTACATCATGGAGACCAAAATTGGATGCAGAATTCCAAGTGTGGCCTCACCAAGGCATTATAAAGCGGTATTAACACTTCACGTGATCTTGATTCTATCCCTCTGTTAATGCAACCTAGGACTGTGTTGGCTTTTTTGGCTGCTGCAACACACTGCTGGCTCATATTTAAGTGATTGTCTACCAGGAGTCCGAGATTCCTCTCACAGTTACTACTGTTGAGACGTTTCAGGGAAAGGGACAAGAATTGTGTTCTCCATCTCCGACCCAAAGGACTGTTAATGTGGTCCCGCAGATAACTTGGCCCAGTGCCATATCTATATTGCTTAGCTACCAGACCGAAAAAGCTTAGGGTAGTTTATGAAATGCAAGTTAATGAGTGGTATTGAATGAATTGGGATTTTTCCCCTCCTCCTTACACCCCCAATCCCCTGCAGATCCATTGAGCATTGAAAGCGCAGCCTGCAGTCTCGGCAGCACCAGTGAATCCGGGCATGGCTACGAGTGCAGCACGCCTTCAGAAACAAACTGTTCCTTTGACCCCCCCGAGGAGGTGCCCCCCGCCAGCCGTGTCCCAACGTACCTTCAGCACCCACCAAATCCCTCCGAAGCCGGATTCTACCAGATGGCTGCGACGGACAAGCAGGAAGAGCCCTTGCAGTGCTCGGGAGAAGCTATCACCGTGGACTTCACCCCACTCCCCGAGAGCGTCACGGAAAGGTTACCTTTAATTTCCAGCCACGCGGGACTGGAGGGAGATCCAGAGACGTTGGTGGCCCCTGCGCAAGTGTCCTTAGCTGTCCCCGATTTTCAGCCTCCTGGGTCTTGGAGAAGTCGATAGCCTCCTGACCACTCCACAATCCTGTCCGGCACCCGTAGCCCATTCAGACTCAGTGTCTCAGTGACAGCAGCCATCAAGAGGTCTTTTATAGGCCAGGAGCTGACTCGTATTCTGGGGGAGACGAGGGGACGAGAGATCAGAAATCTTGGCTTGATGATGATCTTTCCTGGTCCTCGGTGACAAACGTGCTGCTTCTCCCCTTCCGAAATCCGAGGAGCGCCGGTTCCCCGCCAGCCAACCCCACCCCTGGCAGTTCCAGTGTCTCTCCAGCAAAACCAAACACCTCCGTCACAATCTCCTGTGCACCTATCGCAGGAGCTGGCCGAAGGGAACTGTGACCCCCATGGGGTCATCACGGACGGGGACCCCCTCAAAGCCATGCGGGACAGACCGAGTCTTCCCCCCCCCACCCGCCGTCTCCACATTCAGCCAAACCCCTCAGATTGCCAGGGGAAGGCGCTTTGGCCCCAGAACGGACACTCTGTAGGGAGGAAGGCTGGCCGCGAGCACTTTGAAGAGGGAGGGGGCTGGACGGGGGTGGAATGCAAGGTTTCCTGGAGCGCGGGAACTAGGCGTAAAAATGCATCGGGTTCCTAATCACCGGAGCAAAATAGGGTAGAGAATACCTGAATTTTAGTTTCATCAATGTCAGGACTGGTACCTCCCGCTAGTTCAGGTCTTTTCCGTACACCTGATTCGGTGTGGGTGGGTGAGAGCGTCCGAGTGTGTTGCTATACATGCGCACACGGGCACGTGCGTACGTGAGACGACTTGTTGCCAAATTTTGTGACCCTGTGTGGTTAGAGCGAGTGGAAACCCTGTTGGGTCCTGTTTTCTCCTCCCTGTGACCTCTATCTGGTGGGGAGGGGGGGCTTCCTCGAAGTCAGGTGCAGAAAACAGTCCGGGGGTGGGGCACGTCTCTCTGATCCTCATGTTTCTCAACCCTGGCAACTTCAACTCCCAGAATTCCCAAGATGGCTTTTTGTGGACTTCAACTCCCAGAATTCCCCCAGACATCCATGCTGGCTGAGGAATTCTGGGAGTTGAAGTCCACCCATCTTAAAAGTTGCCCTAGTTCAGAAACACTGCCCTACAGGAATTGCTCACGAGGTTTATTTTTCCCACTTCTGATAAAGTCACATTTAGTGCAGAATCCGTGCAAGTAGGGAGACAAAAGAGTAAGGAGAGGGGAATTCGGCCTAGCAGCATCTTTGGATGGCATTCAGTGGCCCCCATTTTTTTCCTTGTACATCCCCCTTCACACATACCCACACACCCCAAAAACATACATTCCATGTTTAGCAGAGTGATTTCAGGCAAGGGAAAGATGGGGGGAGGGAAACCCCACCCTCTGATTTTATTGTCTTTTATTTTTGCTAAAGAGAGATATTTTTCACGACCTACTACTCCATTCGCAGCAGTTCTACCACTGCTGCTTCTTCGGTGTGCCAAACTGAGACTTGGAGGGTGGGTGAGGGGAGTGCAGAGAGGAGTAAGAGAGGGAAGGGGAGCATGAGGAGTTCTCTCACCCACCCACCCTCTCCAAGCTTGGTTGTTCTGACCACTCCGAAACGTTGGCAGGATTAGCAAGGACAAAGACAGTGCCATACACGCAGCTCTTTTCTCCACAATGTTCCCAGATTGCATTTCAGATTCTTTTCCTTTTAAAAATTTTAAACCGTGAAGTCCCAAAGAGGGGGGGTATTGCATTTATACTCTCAAAAGAGAATATCCCCACCCCCACCTGAACTCCCCTCCCGATTCAACGAGATAAGAGACAGCCCCAAGCTTTGCATTCTCCCCAATTTTGTACAACTGGAGCCTTAGAACAGGTAAAAATGGAAACGAACGGGAAATGAGGACACCACCTTACCCCATAATCCCCTACCTTGCTTCCATCCAATCACTGCATCGTTTCTGGCAGGGGTGAAATGCTACCAGTTCGGACAGGTCCAGGCGAACCGGTAGTAAAAAAAATGCTACCGGTTCGGGCGAATCAGTATTTCCGACAATCAGCTGGGCGACGATCAGCTGTGACGCGCGATTTATATTAGCTAGAATCGTCGGATTTCCTGCTTTCTAGCTAATCTAAATCATGTGGCACAGCGGATTCTCCCCCTCTCACTGTCGGTAGCAGATTCACCGAACTGGTAGCAGGCTTCACTGGATTTCACTGCTGGTTTGGGGGCTGTTTCTGCCCCAGATGTTTTGGGGGGAAGTGAAGATGGGTGCAGGAGGGAAAGCCAGAAGTGTTTTTATTTTTATTTTTTTTAATCATTCTGGATCCAGTCGCAGAGTTAATCGTCCTTCATCCTCCCCGGCTTCTTTTGAAGGGGAAGGTCAATGGTTGTCTCACGCCTCTCCCACCACAGACCTTGGAGAGCCTCTCTGGAAAAAAAGAGCTTGCAGAGGCGAGGCGCCAGGTCACAGGGAAGGAAAACCAGCTCCAAAATGAAGCGGTGATGACAAGATGGCCGGATCTGCTTTTAGGGACCAGCGCCGGGTGGTGGACGGAGCGAATCAAGCAGCGATGCTTGGTTGGTTGAGCTGAGAACTCAATGTCCTACAATTGGGAGTTTCCTTGCAGCTTAGCAGGGATGAAAAATCCCTTTTAGGACTGTCCGAGAAATATATTTCTTTTTTTTTTTTTCCCCTCTTCCTGTTCTTCGCATTCAGTGCTCCTCTGGATTCAGTGAACCCACACCCACCCAAAAAAAACCCAACCTGGTTTCTGAAGAGTTTTTTTTAAAAAAAATTTTTTTTTTTGGCAGCAAAACAAGAATTCCACTCCTTTTTCTAACGTCCTGTATTCTTTTCTTCCTTCTCACTTCCCCCGCTCCGCCTTTCTCTTCCTCATTTTAAACCTTGATTATTCTGGGGTTCTGGATTTCGTCACCCGCTAATGTCGCCCCAGACCGGTCAATCTTCAACTCTCAGGGTTAACATTTCTTCCAAGGGGCTTCACACATTCAATCATTGTTCTGGATACCGTAAGGCGAAACCCACCACCACCCACATCCCGTTTTGAGAACGCCTGCCCATTCCTTTGCACAGGGCTGGGTCTGTCCTTTTGAGGAGCATAATACCGCATTTTTCGGAGTATAAGACACACTTTTTTCCTCCCTAAAAGAGGCTGAAAATTAGGGTGCATCTTATACACCGAATGTAGACCCGCCCACCTGCCAGCCCCCATCCTTTGGCCTCCGCCTCCCAGCAATTTGCCTCCTTACAGCAAACAGCCGTTTCAGCTTCAGCACAGCCTGATTAGCACAAGCAGCTGGTCGTCGGCTGGATTGGCCTCCGACAATCAGCTGTTTCAGGCTGCAGGGGTTGCCATAGCCTATTGCCGCCTCCATGCACCCCATTTTCAGCCTCCACCCCCATTTTCCGCCTGTTCTGGGTGGCAGGGATCAGAATGGGTGGAAAATGAGGTGTGCGAAGGCCAAAAATGGGATGCAGAGGCCGAAAATGGGGCATGTGGAGACAGCAATAGGCTATGGCAATCCCTGCAGCCTGAAACAGCTGATCGTCGGGAGGCATCCAACTGACAATCAGCTGCTTGTGCTAATCAGGCTGTGCTGAAACTGAAACAGACTGCTTTTGCTGCAAGGAGGCAAATTGCTGGGAGGCAGAGGCAGATTTTTTTTCCCCTTGTTTTCCTCCCCAAAAGCTAGGTGTGTCGTATACTTCAGAGCCTCTTATACTCCGAAAAATACGGTAACTTGATTTCTTGGCATGTCCAATGGTCTCCGAAATGTTCCACAGGATCACGTAAACCCACCCAGGACAAAACAATGTATTGGTACATGATTTCTCAGGTCACCCAGAAGAGTTCCACATTCCCCCTTTTAGACCAATGTCCAGAATGCTTTTCTTCTCTTGCTGCATTCCTAGGTTCTACCAGTAGGGGGCAGAGGTTCTGCCGACGGATTTCCCCTGTTGACAGAAAGTTGCAATTGGCAACAGGAAGCTCTTGTGTGACCTTTGCCCTTCGCTGTATTTTAGAGAAGGGTCTTGGGCCATATACGTTTGGGCCCTTCTTGATGGATGTATCCCCCTACCCCAATCAAACGCCATCTAATTCAGCGCTTCTCAACTCTGTCTACTTTAAAGTGCGGACTACAACTCCCAGAATTCCCCAGCCAGCAAATCTGGCTGGGGAATTCTGGGAGTTGAAATCCACAATATCTTACAAGTTGCCAAAGTTAAGAAACACTGATTTGATGGAAGCAACCATCAATCCCGTACAATCCCCTTTGTTCATAATGCCCTTCCTCAAAAGAATATATATATATATATACATATATATATATATATAAAAATATAAATATTTTGCTCCGATGAATCCTTTTAACATCTTGTCCCCTCGCTTCCTTTGGAACGGCCCTATTTCATTCCTTCTGTTTTAATATTTGAAAATGTCTTATTTATACTACGAATTTTCCAAGTTTGTTTACATTGAGTGGGGGGGGGGATTTTTTTTTTTTTTTTAAGGAATACCGTGCTAATGGGGGTGGGGGGAGGGAAGGTTGTTCCACAAAAGAAGAAAATCTTTATTCCTTTATTTTGTTACGAAGCGTTCATTTATCTTCGTTGCCTTGTTTGTTTTTTTTTGTTTTGTTTTGTTTGTTTGTTTTTTTCATCCTATTTCCTGGTTGCCTCTCTCCCTGCCCCCTCCCCGCCCTCCCCCCACTGCTGAAGCCGCGGAGGGTTTTCCACTGTGAAGTGATATTGCCTTGAATACCCTTTATTTATTTAATTAAAAGCATAAGTTTGTGGAGGGGAAGAAAAACCAAATGGGAGACTTGTGTCTTTTTTTAAAATATATATATATAAAAATAAATATATATCTATATCTATATCTCACTTTCTTTCTGTTCCCCTTTTCCCTTTTTCTGATTTATCCTCTCTCCCCTTTCGCCTTCTTGCCTTACTTCTCAATATTCTGGTTCTTTTTTTCTTTTGTCCATTTCCCTCCCCCCCCCCTTTTTTTTTTTTTTTTTTTTGCATTAAGGCAGGGGTGGGCAACTGTGGCCCTTTTACAACCTGTGGACTTCAACTCCCAGAATTCCTGAGGCAGCTTGGCTGTCTCAGGAATTCTGGGAGTTGAAGTCCACAGGTTGTAAAAGGGCCACAGTTGCCCACTCCTGCATTAAGGTACCTATCACTGGGACAGCTTGGCTGCCTCACCGGAAGAGTTCATATACAGGTAGTCCTCGACTTAACGACCGCCCTTGAGTCCAAAATTTTGTCCCAGATAGTTGTCCAGCGAGCTTTGCTCCATTTTACAACCTCTCGTCACAGTTGTTAAGCGAATCGCTAAAGTCCTTAAGTTAGTAAGTTAGTAACACAGTCAGTGGTGGGTTGCTCCCAGTTCGCCCCGGTTCAAGCAAACTGGTAGCGGCACTCAGACGTCATCAAAAACACTCTGCACATGCGCAGAAGCTTCTGTGTATGCACAGAAGCGCCGCACGCTCGCAAAGCAAGCAAGCGCGCCCACGTGCTACCAATAGCGAACCAGTAGCGGCGGGATTTGAAACCCACTACTGAACACAGTCGTTAAGTGAATCTGTCTTTCCCATTGACTTTGTTTGTCAGGAGGTCGTAAAAGGGGATCACGTGATCCCGGGACATTGCAACCGTCATAAATATGAACCAGTTGCCAAGCGTCTGAATTTTTGATCGTGTGACCATGGGGGATGCTGCAAAGTTCATAACTCTGAAAGATGGTCATAAGTCCATTTTTTTCAGTGCCGTTGGAACACTCACTCAACGAACTGTTGT